TTGCATTATTATTATGTAACCTTATTTTGTAACTTTATTTTGTGATTTTTATCCCTCCCGGTGAGCTCATAGCAAAGACATTTCATTGCCAGCAATTACTGCTGCATGCTGTATTGTTGTGTATTTGATAAATAAACTTTGATTGCTTGATTGATAAATACAGCAAATGTGAATTAACCTACAATGAGAAAGCTAATAAAGTTAAATTTTATTTAAATATTTTGATTGTGTACTAAGCATCAGGACAAGCTTATTACTTCTAACTGTAACAAGTTGACAAAGTTATTACAGGAAAAATTACAATCTTTTATGTAACAGGTACAGTGATGTTTTATTCAAAAGACTTGACATAAATTTATGCTGTTGAATATTTGTCATCAGCAGGGGATCTGCTGCAAAAGCAGCTATGTGTACGTGCTGTGGGATCCCGTCCCCTTCCTTTTGAAGAAAGAGAACAAGCATGTCTGTTCATTAGACTCTGAAACCTAGATATCACATATTATCCCGGTTCGTCCTTACAAATGTTCAATTGGGCTCGCAATTGGGTTGAATTCTCGCAAGTAGGTCATCCAAGGCATAACTGTCACATTCTTACTGTGCAAGAAAGCCACTGTCACACAAGAAGCATGATGTGCATAGTCCTTCTGGAATGTTGTCATGTCAAGATGAGCTCACACAAAGGAAAGCGAGAGAACTCTGAGCACTTCATCGATGTAGTTCCATACTATAATCACTACAAGTGTCTTTATGTGATAAGATGCTCCTTCCCATATCATAACACTTAAGCCCTCCCATAGATCTTGGCAAGATGCTGTACATGATGAGCAAATGCGCACTGACTTATTTCAGCTTTCAACATATACACACTTATGATTTAAGGAAGTCTATCTTCTGTCTTCTGTGAATCAAGCTACTGGTACCAGTTTCCTGACAAAGATGACTTTGGTTGGCAAGATTTGTAGAAAAAAGTCTAAATAGGTAAGCCTATGGTTTTAAGATAATTTTTTATTACCTGCAATAACTTTCTGACTCTGTGTAAGTGATGTCAATATTCTATAAAAGTAAGCCTGCAAACCAATTTTATTTTTTGCCTTTTCTAAAAGAACTCAGATCTTTCAGAATCATGCTGACTGTCTATTAAAATAAAACTATGTTTTGTTTGAAATAACCTTGGTTTCTCCTTTCCTGCCACACTGTGTAGTTATGAGTTACAATATCCATCTCTGTAGATAAAGGTTTTGCTAGCCTGTCTCTTAAAAGTTGGTTCACTATTACATATTTACTAACTTGATGTTCAGTACACTTTGATGATGTGTGGAAAAACAGCAGTTTAAAAACAGTATATTTGGCATATACTATATTATCAGATGGCTGTTTCAGAACAGGGAGTCAAATGTATTAAGTGAGGATAAAACAGGATATTACAGGAGTAATGCATGCATATCTTGAGCTCTTTCTTTAATTTCTGAAGACATTCTTATTTTGATATTGATTAGATGATGTTCACTAATAGCCTCAGTTCCATGTTGATACTGACTGACTGGCCCATGATACAGTATTCTGTGTATTGATCAAACTGTAAAGTTCTTTTATGCCTAACTAGGCATTTTAAATGTAACCAGTAACAACAAAAAAGTCAGATATCAGCCAACCATGGGGTTGGTTTTATTACTAAATTAAAAATACAAAGAATTATTAATCTTCTTTGAGGTGGCCTTTTCTGTTTTGTTTTACTGAATAGTTGCACCATATTTGAGGTGTTTCCTAATTCCTGTTTCCTTCATGTCTAGTCCCTGACCAGACACTGATGCTTAGATCCAAAATCTTCACTGTCCCATCCATTCAGGTTCTACAAATTGTGGCATTGGATTCAAATAGTCTTTAAAAGAGACATTTTAATAAGACCCTAAGAAACACTCAGCAATCAGATTACACTATCAACACCAAATCAAGCAAGTCAAAAACCATAATCCATGCACAACTCTACTCAAAAAGAACAGGAAGGCTATAAAGACATGACCCAAGAACATTACTGAAAACTGAACCCTGAGATTCTCTGAGAGTTGGGAAGCTAATTTAAATGCATAAGTATGATTTCACATGGATGTTAAACATAGCAGTGGGAATTAACAAAAAACAGCCATTTCAAGAAAAACATATTTTCTTTAAAGATGAAGAACAATTTTAAAAATGTTTCACTAAAATCAACTCACTGTCCCATCCTTGATGAGTAGTAACTAATTAAACACAGAATAAAAATCTTTTGTGATGCAGTACCAACCAATAACAAAGATTCACTGCATAAGACAGAAAGTTGAGATGAAGGTCACTGAACTAAGCTCCCAAGGGTGTGTATTTTATTTGCAGTATTTACAGGTAGTACAAACACTCAGCAATGGTAGACATATTTCCAGTACTGGATACAGAAGTAAAATAAATCTATATTGCTGTTCCTTCAGGGGAATGCTTAATAAAAGCTTGTAATAACCCCTTCATATCATCTCAGATATTTCATCATTCTTAATGCATCTGAAAAGAAGACTTAAATAACAAAAATGGGATCTATAGCAGGGTGCAGCAGGAAAAGGCTTTTAATGTAATCATCAGAACACAATCAAAGTCCCCTGTTCTTGAAAATTGGTCTCTTGGAACGATACTTAACCCAACAAAAGCCATTAGGCCATGATCAAGTGTGCAGTCTCTGTGCTGCTCATTTTTTGAAGGACTGTCTCAGCTGCAAGCAGTTATGACTACACTTGAAGGTGGAAAGCAAATGCATAGGTGTTCAGGCTAGTGGCATCTCACCATTCAAATTTACAGGACAATATTTTCTAATTTTGCTGGAGCAATAGTAAACAGTCTGATGTTTTTCCTCTTCTTAACAGACTAGTGAAAGCTCTAATGACAAGGTTTAAGTGCAAGAAGGTGTACTTTAAACATTTCTGGGCAACCTTTAAAAAGCTCTTGTATTGATCATATAAATATTAAAACAAGAACATGAATCTGCAGTTCTTTTCTTTTTTTCCTGCTTTAGCAGATCTCCTGTAATAAGAGGTCTTTTTATCTTAAATGTTTTATAAGGATTGCACATTTAAATACAATCATCTATAAATACATACACTAAGGAAGTCCAGCCAGTTACTGTACAGATGTAACGTAATAGCATATATCAGCATGTAGCAGTATTCCACAATTAAAAATTGATAGAGCTGCCTAAAAGAGCTCTAAGATAGCTTTTTTCATAGTTCTTTTTTGATAGTATAAGAACTAAAACCAATTCTACAAGAGAATGTTATATTATTGAATAACCTTAAGGATATCCAATACACTTTCATAAAATGATCATAGCCTATGCATACATTCATTTGTGTATGTATTCTTACCTGTTTCTAATTTAGTGTAAAACAGTGTTTCTAAAAAGCATAACTGGAACCAAACAGAACTTGAAAAGGTCCTTGGAAATCCTTTTTTTTTTTTGGATCTCTTGCATTTGCATCCCAACATTCTGTGCTACTCTACCATATGTGAAGAACAAATGTGCCTCAGAGCTCTGAGCACCAACCGCAGTGAACAGTTTGTGTACTGGCCGAGATACTGCTTGTTTAGTGTCATTTAGTACCATGGTACAATTAGCTCTGGGCCAAAAAGCTGGTCAGGCTCATATTGTGAGCACATATGTTTGTTCTGTGTTCTTTCTTAAATGGAGGCCCAGAAGCCAGACACAAACAAGTCACTAAAACAGAGGAGGTCACAGCTGTATTCATAGCATCCATATCATTCTGGCAAATCTGTTGCTTGTGCTTTGAGGTTTTATGCCTACTGTACATAAACCTTGCAATGTATATGTTGGATCAATTTAGCTCCACTGCACTAAAGGAAAGCTGTTGCACACAAGAAAAATTTTGATAAGACCAAAATAAAAAGGTTAAGAAAGAAAATGAATCGAGATCCCAAGCAGTTCAGAAATACTACGTACACATTTCAAAATCTAAATTTTCAACCATTTGAGATAAATTTAGAGGAATCTCCTAAACCCAAAAACACTCACTAGCTGGCTACAATGGCCTGAATAGTCTATATTTGTGCTTATTGTAGCACTCTTGGGTTCAGGTGGGTATGTGCCCTCGCCTCTGCCGCCTCAGGTCAGCCCCCCCACCGCCAGGGACTCAAACCCGTGCCTCTGGCGTCACTCAACAGGGACCCAGCCACTGGAACTAAAGGGAAATCTCCCGTCAGCCTGACGGCTGCGGTCCCTGCTATCCACAGGGAAGGGCGGTGACGTCACTGCGCTGGTAAGCCGGCTTGAACAACCTGCAATGGTGGCCGTATGCGTTACAATATGTTACTACTTGAATTCAGAAAGACAACAGTTAAGAGTAATACAATTAAGAAAGCCTAGTGTTTTAGTGTTCTGTGAAAAAAATGTCTAACTATATTTAAAAAATAAATTGGTACTATTTTAACTATATGATATTCTCCATAGAATAAATTATTCCATTCTATATTGTTTTTAGTTGATTCTGTAATAACATCATTAACGGCTTCCAAATGGAAAAGACATTCCACATTGCGGAATAGATGCAAAGCACAATGACAAGAGTTGAAGCATTACTGTTTTAGCAAATACTTTTTGCAACAGGGAATTAAAGAATAAAAACCTACAAAAAGTTTAGAAATGTCATGGTAATACAACTTACTCTTCCATTAAAACAGTTGACAGGCAGAATATGAAAACTGACAGCTGTGACAGTGGTCTGTTAAGCAACACTGTCAGCACAACACATTTTAGCTTCTATCTAAAAAAAAAAGATAATTAATAACATAATCTGAGCAACAGTTGAATGACCACACACATTCATGGATCACAAAAGGGGATCTTTTTAAGAGCAACAAAGATGCTGTGTATTCTCTTTCATTCATTAATCATTTAGAAAAGCATTTCTTATAAAATTCGTACACACAAAACCAGTCCAAATATTTTATGGTAAAATACAATTTAATGTATTTTAATCTCATATACAGAAAGATCTATAAAGTTATACAAGAAACATTACCAGCAATGTACAAATGCAAAACAAATATACATTTAGAACAATAAAGGTAGATTCTAAATTTCAGCAAATATTGATATGTACATAATATTAAAACATAAATGTTTTACGCAGACTTAATTGTCTTCAATGTATGTGTTTCTCTCTCTCTCTCTGGCAACTGTTTTTTGCAGACTGTACCACAATAATTTCTTTTTCAGAAAAAAATAAAATATTCTCAAAAATAAAAATGGGGTTATTACAATATATTGTTTATTTTTGGCAGTCTACCAAAATATCATTGTCATATATGCCATTGCCCTTCTTTTTTATTTTTTGATATGTTCATTATTAAAAAAAAGAATGAACAGAACTAACACAAATACAGTAATAACATAAATGACAGGGCTCAAAATCTACAATGTCAAATGTACTTACAGTTAAATACTACATTAGTTCAATACAGTGTTGGCCACACCACTAAAGGATCGCTCCACTAAAACAAAACAGGATGAACAACTGTACTGGAACTTCCACTGTTCATGCATTAGTGTAAAACCATCTAATTCTGAAATACCAATAGTTCTTAGACAATTTAAGAAAATAACTTTTTTAGTTCAACAGTCAAACCTTATTGTTAGATTAATCTTGTTCTGAGAGTAAAGGAAAATCAGTGCCATCTATATATAAAATGTTATCCCTGTCCTCATATATCAACATATCAATGAAAAATATAGTATGGCTGAAAGTACTGTATGGCAAATGTAGGTAAATTACTTAAGCCATGGTGTAACCATAACTCCCACAATGCAGTGCCACTAGAAGCCTGTCTCTGAGGATCTCTTGTTTTGGGTATTCTGGTAGCTTCAGCATGTTGATGCTAAGGAGAAAAAACACAAATGGGATTTTATTTCAGATAAAAATGTCTACATGGATACAAAGACCCAGAAGTTGTTGATTACACTCAAAGTCATCTGAAGAAAATTTGTTTTCTTAAGAAGCAGACTGATTCTTCTTAAAATTGTGTATCTTTTTAGACACTTTGGGTTCTGACGTCTGTTGCTTGGGATGGGAAAAGGAATAGATTCATGTAAATGAAAAATGAGATGTTCTTTTGAAAATGTCAGCATATTGTGGGGAGCTTTGTCTACATTTATTCTACATAGATTGATGAACCAAAACAGTTACACACTGGTTTGATAAATCAAAATGAAGAGAATACATATTAAAATGATTAATAGGAAAAAATGTTATACCATACTCCTTCAAAACATGATTGAAAGATGGGTCATAGCTCTATTTAATTACCACACTAATCTTTATTTTTTAAAAATACATGTGTCAGTTACCACAATGGTTCCTGGATGCTAAACAGATACATCATCTTACTGTGTTTAAGTTTTCTTAAATAGGGCACTTCTTATTCCAAATGAAAAGCATAATCCCTTTCATGCAATTAAAAAATTGATCCTTAAAAATCATTTATTATCACAATAACTCAAGCTCCATCTGAAATTTTATACAGCCTAACATTAATACACTGTAATAACAGATACTATCCATCAGTCAAATGACTGAAATTAATCATGTTTTTAGTCCATCTGTTAAAGTACTAATTCACAGACTTTAAACTGCACTTCCTTGTAACAGCATTGTTGCTCTTTCATATTATTTTTTTCTTTCTTGTTGCTATGGCAAGTACTGTAGTTAAAGCCACTCCACTCCTTACATGGTCAGCATTTTGATTATACCATAGTGCCCTCTTCTGAGGTGTCTGATCTTTCAAAATGAACATACCATGTGCTGGATGTTGGGAGAAGGTTTGAAGTGTATGGCACTGCAGCTATTGTAAACTTTTGCAATCCACTGCCTCCCATGAGATATGCAAAGCCTCCATGAGGTACCCTTGAACTGAAAATAAAAATACTGGCAGTCAAACAATCCATGTTGTAAAGAACAAACAGGGTCAGCTTCAAGTGTTGGATGAAAAAGAAATGCTTTTCAAAAATACCTCACAACTTGTCACTTAAACACATGAGATTATTGGATATTTCTTTTGCTTTTGTAAAACACATTGTGTGGAAACAAAATTAGAAATTGCAAATATGCTAATACTGGGTCATTTGCCTGTGGGTTGGGATTAAAAGCAGAATTTAAATTAGAAGTTAAAATTCACTGTCACGCCAATTAACTTACAGTATCTTATAAAAGCCCTGAGGCAATTTTACGCTGACATTTTTTATTATTTTCCAATAATAATATATCATAGCACACAGGTTCATATTAGCTCAGTTTGAAAGCAGCCTAAAACACACCAGGAAATATCATCACCATTTACATTTTCAGTATTTGCCAGATGAAAAAGAGCATACTCCTCGTTGCTTTCAAATTCTTTCTCTACAACATCAGCTCTGAGGCTAAAAGAGGGACAATCATTATCTTGTTTGTTCCCATTTAAAAGAAATGAGGCAAAACCTTAACAACCTAATGTTTAATGCATTGCCACTGCATTCTTTTGTTTCCTTTAATAAATGAACAGGATAAAACACACAAATGTAGGTACATGCCCACTGACATTTATATTTCTACACTTGTGATGACCTGTCAAGTCCCACTGACTCTTTCTTTTTACCATTCTCAGCTCTGCTGAAATGAAACTCAACATGGGGGTGAAAGTAGACTAAAAATAAATAGTTGTAGCACTTTTAGATTTTCAATTAGATGCCATTTGCCTTTTATAAAAACAAAAACAATATTACAAAAGACACTTTTCTAAAGAAAACACAATTGATGAGACACTCTTCTTATCTATTACACTCTCAGAAATTCTGTTCCAAAAAGTGTAGCATTGTTTGAACATCTTGTGCATCTGTCCAGTCCTAATTGTCTCCTATTAATGCTGGATGTAATTTTTATTCCGTATTGTCTTGGTATGCTCAGCATTACACAAGGTTAAATCTCTAAATCAAGCTGTACCATACACACTAACAGAGCACACATTTTTCATTCTCAGGCAAGACACAACGACATGGTAGCTAGCAAACAAGTAGCTGAGGAAAAAATAAGACATAAGTTAGAAACAAAGACTGGTTAAAAAGCCAGTCATCTTGCTGCTGATTTTCCTTCCAGATTAGGAGTGCTCAATATAGGATTAAAATGACAGTTATAGAGATGTTATCAAAATATTTGACTTGTCACCTCTAAAAGTAAACAGTACTGTATATAACAAACGATATTACTCCAAGAGTACTAAGAGTAGCAGTAGAAGTAATAATAATCTTTTGAGTGCCTGCCAGTGGTGAATACAGCAAAGTGCTGAGGAGAAAAATGAACAATATCATTCTGTTGTTCAACTTTATGCAGTTTCCAAAGGAATATAACCAAGAGTTAAGCAATATTTTTGAGACACAATAAATAGCCTATACATATAATAAGTCTAAATTAAGTGAAGAAACAACAGATTTTGAAAATGATTCACAAGTCATGCCAGTCACCTGATTGTAAACCCACTGAAATATAGAACGAGCTCTGAGAAACCAAAAAATATTTCAACTAGAATAAATATGTTTTGGGAGAGGATAAGGACTGAATGGTAACAACAGGTATGCAATACATTCCAAAACCTTTTTAAGGGCTGTGGCTGGAGGGGGTAAGTGTAAAATTAATATAATTTTTAAATTCAGGAATCTTAAAGAAAATCATTCTCTGGTACATTGTTTTAAAAAGATGAATAAAACAGCTTACATCGCTATTCCCTTCTACATTACATACTGTATGTACGTAAGTATTATTAAGATAGATGCAATTTTTGTTATAAATGTCTGAGAAATGCAAACATCAAAATCTTTCTTGCTTGACATCAGTACAATTGCAACCACCTTTAACAGTGCAAAATTTACATTCCCAGATCACCAGTTTCTTCAATAAAGATGTTATTAGAGCACATCTAGAAATGTTAAGATGTTTCTACTCCTGTGCACATTCAGGTTTCATAGCTATCTAGCACTTGGTGTTTGTATTTTAAGCAAACAGAAATATTACAAGCTGTTTACATAAATACAGCATGTACAATCATTCCTGGGTTGCAGCTTCTTTTTAAGAGTGCCAGGTTACTGTGTATGGGCTGCTCACCTGCCTGTGACAAACTGCAACAGCAGCACTCGCTCCTCCTGGGTGAGGCTCTCAACAACCTCCCAAAACCACTGAAAGACAAGAAAAGAGTGTTTTATCATCTGGATAAACAGCTGCTACTTTCATTCTGTTTGTGAATATGTAACTTTTATTAAATTATGCCAGTGTAAGTAGAAAATGCCAACACTAAATGTTCTAATTCTTTCATGAGTTTTAAAGCAGCATAAGATAATCATGCTTGTGTTCTGAATTCTGAACCATGGGTGTTGACATTATAAATGCCAGTAAAATACAATGTCTTATGTAAATACAATTCCAGTAGCAAACCTAGAGGAGGCAATCACCAACATCCCCTCATATTCAGAAACTATATTATCTGAAATCCAGCAAAAACAAGTATGCCTTTGTATAATTTAGATTAATGAACCTATTGGTTAAATCATGTCACGTAACAAAATGCTTTGGGTTTAGAAAACTGCACAATGAAATACTGTGAGAAGACACAACTGAATACACCATTTCCTAATGTCAATCATTAACATTTTCAATCAAGGTCATTAAGAAATTTGTCAAGCCACTGCTGAAACAACAACAGCACAGTGTCATCAGCGAAAAAACATAGCAAGGCAGACAATGTTGAGCTGAGGACAGCTAGGATCAAATCGGGCACAAGCACAAATGACTTGAACACAAGCTTTTCTACATCACCATTAAAAATAAAAGCAAAATATCTTATCCGGCAGGTTGGAGGTGAACCTCCAGAGTCCAGAGCTGACCATTTTATTTTTGCTGCTCAGCAACTAAACTAGTTCCAGGTCCATCCCACTTCCAGAAATAGTGATTAACAATCAAAAAAAGGATTTAAAAAGGTTTGCAAGTCACAAGCAATCCCAACTGCACTAAATAGAATCTGTGCCATTTTAGCCATTAAAGTAGGGGTTAATGTAACAGTTGCATGCTCTCAAGGTAACCTAAAGCAAATGACAGTAGCCAGACACACTATAATGAAAACTGTTTTCTGTAAGGTACCCAGCATGCCAGAGGACATGAGACAAAACAGACAGTTAAATGTGATTTAATATTTAAATTATTTGAGCCTTGCATCAAAAACGTGGTTAGGCAATCTGATTACATGCAGATTTTCCATGTTGCAAAGAATTAACAACAAATGTAAATAAAGCTGAATTTTGGCTGTGATTGTAGGTGACATGGCAGACATTTTGGTCAAAGAGCATGTGTCATTTTGCTTTATAATAATTAAGGAAAATCATGATTTGGAAGCATTTTTATTTAGATCTTATCTGACTGAGGCTCTGTTTATTATGCTCCAAGATATGCTACCCCATTTCAATTTTCTACTAAAAAAAGGATAGCATTAAGTGACCTTATATATTCACATAGTCTTAATCTAGTGGAGCAGGAGGTACTATAAGGAATTTGATTGCAGTTACTTGTAAAATGATGAGCTTTGTGAAGAATTTACCAAAGTGACTTGCTTGGATTGCTTGGTACACAATGCGCTTTCTGACCAAGAATAGTCACTTATCTCCAATAATCTTTCAGTTAATGACTAATGATGGTGGAGTTAAAGCGGGTGGATTTGCTATATCATTACCGTCCAGTTAGTTCTGTATGTTTCTGAAAATGGCAAATATGGAGCAAAAGAGCAGTACCATGCAGCTTTAGCAAGGAAAATCATATCTACTGATTCAGCTAATCATATTACTAGAGCAAGTTTCAATCAAGTTTAAAAGAAAACCAAGATGCAGAATAGTTACATTTGGATTGCCCAACCCCTCCACAACCAAGAAAGGATACAACAGTTGGGAGAAGGTGCTGTATCAAATTCATTATGTCTCCTGAATAACTCTACCAGCACAATTACCACAACGTTGAAGACTCTTTCACAATGGTTATGAGCAACAATTCAGTTCAACTGTTTGGGAGCACATGAAAAGCATTAAAATGTTTGCTACTGGAAGCTGAGGCAGCAAATCCTCTGCAGAATTCTAGAACCAGACTTTGATACAGATTGACTAAAATTAGACTGTGATGCACTGACTGACGCAGCAAAAGAAAGTGGTTTCAATTCATCAACATTATGGGAGTATAGTAAATCTGCTAAGCTCTTAGGACAGTAAATGTTTGCAACCATGACTGCTTAGTGGGAGAGCCTGATAAGAACAACTTTAAGAATCCCATTCTCCTCTTATACACCTGAAAGATCATTTGCAAAACTTTGAAGGATTAAAGGATGCCAGTGACCATGTTCTGTGGTGCATAATTTATTTCTTTATTTTACTGTTTTGAATGTGCATATAAGATATCAATTTAACAGTCATGCTCCAAACTAATTCTTAATAATGGGTTTTGTCATAGCAGTTCATTCTAGCCAATTAAAAGACTTCAGAAAGTGATTTCAAGTAGTACTATACCAACATTTTTTAAATCTAAAATGTTAATTTAATAAATGTATACTAGAGCATTAATTTTACAGACCAGAAGAAAGCAGAGAATTTTCATTGCTGGTTGAAGCAATGAACTTTGCCATTTGCAAAACGGAAACATTATTCACCGTCATTTTAAAATGCTTTCTCTTGTAAATGGACAATCAATTAATATACCTTAATAACTGGCTCTTCCAAATCATATCCACTTGTGTACTCTGTGTTCTTCTTCCAGTCATTTACGTCAATCTCTGGCATTCCTGAAAGCAGCAATTCCTGTAGCAAAATGAGAGCCTGACCATTATTTTCTTCTTTTAGCTGATGCTTGTAGCCAAGGCAACTTACATGCTTCACAATATGTGATATACAGCACATTTCCTGTTTAAAACAATTTAAAAAACAAAATTTATTTAATCACAGGGTAGTGGTTCGAAGAAACAATACTCAAATACAGTAAATGAAGTGCAAAATAAAACAACAAATGTATATGTGGAACATATTGGGGAACAGCAGGGCAGTACAACAGTCAATTAGTGCAAGACAGCAGCAGGTTGTAGGATTTATAAGTGCAGCTTGAACTGGTAAGTTTTGAAGAATTCCAAAAGGCAGGAGCTGGCACTGGACAGCCAAGGATGAAGATAAGATACGATACAGGATATGGAAATGTATACTGAAAATGGGGGTTGTGTGGGTTGACTAAACTCACAGTAGAATAGAAGGATTATAGGGAAAGATAGGAAATGTGAGGTACCAAAACAGAAAATGAAAAGAGTTGTAGGTAAGCAAGGACAAGGAATGTGAGGGACAGACAGACAGGAATGGGAAAATAGCAGACAATAGAAAGCAATATCGTTGAATGAGAGTGTGAGGTAGGCAAAAGAAAGACAAACATGACTTCATGCTAACCCAGTGTACATAGAACTAGGGTTTGAACCAGGAGCACACTGGAGGTTTTTTGAGTGAGAAGGAGATTCTGGAGAAATTTAGTAAAACACAACAAAGTGTACCAGAGAAGAGGTGTGCTGAGAGATTAGGTAAAAGGGAGGTCAAGAAGAGTAGGGTATTAGACTCAATTCAAATTGAAAAAAAAAAGATTGCTAATAGAGTTAAAAATGTTTCAAAAAGTGAAGCATGACTCCCCCCCCCAAGAAAAACAATCTCATCCTAGCTTTACATGAATACATGAATAACCTGTTCAATTTCCAAAATAGCTGTAAAAAAATCAATTTCACAAATGGTACAAAAACTAGCTTGAAACAGAACTCGTTTCGACTTGTGACATTCAAAACAGCAACATGACCTTCCTTCCCCTAAAACACTGCCATCTAATTTAAAGGTAAAATGAAATTCAAAGTATGCAACATTATGAGGAGGCCTGCATACATACAGTATATTCTCATATAATACTAAAGGTAAGTATAGGAAAATAAACTGCTAAGTGAACACGTTTTGCTGTTATTTGACCTCAGTTATTTCCATCGACATTTTACCCTTGTAAGAGAGAGCACATTCCTCTTTTAATCAGTAGGCTGCAGGCAGTTTTTAGAAACTAACACAAAGAATAGCATATGAAAACCTCAGAAACTGTCAATTTATTTCAAACATTAAGCCTTTCTAAGTATGTATGTAAGGTAAATGAGCAACCATGGCCCCAGGAAAGGAGATAAAATTCAATTGATCTGTTATTTCCATTATTATTCCAAAAGTGAAGACTTCAAGAAATCATAATCAAGCAGAATGGAGCTGAGGCAGTAACTGATAACTGGTGGCAAATATAACTATCCCAGGACACAAAGACTAAAATAACTACAAGAGATAAATGACAGATTGAGATTGCTTGAATGACTATGGTTCAATTCTTCATTGCCAGTTCTCTCATGATTATTTCAGTATCATCATCAAATTAAACAATTAACAGACATTTCTGACAAGAGTTGGATGGTGAGAGATGCATCCTGAAAAACTTTATTTGTATAAGGAAATCGCAACAAACACCTGTAATGGGCATAAATCTGTAAAGACTGGACACACTTGCAAATGGAGAGAAGTACTGAAAAATGTTTAACTTTTTTAGCTCCAAGAGGAAAGAGTATATTAGCAGAATAACAGGAAGGAGTTTCTTCAAAGACTAAAATGATCAAACATGACCTGCTGCATTTTGTGTCCATATGTTTTCACATAAATCAATAGTTTGATCATTCCTTTCTCAGGTGCATGTCAAAAATATTTTGAGATGTCCACATCATTTTGATGGTCCTTTGCAGATAACAATACATGTACATAACAATAGAATGTATATATATATGTGTGTGTGTAAAATCTGTTTTATCAAACATAGTACAAAAGCTTTGAACAGATAAGGAAGCTACCAGCAGCCAAAAGAAAAATGCTGAAACCAGGCAGAATTCACAAACCTAGCTGCATATTCATACACTGCATACATACATTTTAATACAATACTATATTTCTTTATTTCTACTTGGATGTTCTATGGAATGCACTTTACAAGGGTTAGGGTAACAGTACTGTGCTAAAAATACAGAAAAGGGCATTGATTTTTTTTAACTTATTTACCTATTTATAATTATTCCTGTGAAGAAAAAAACATTCCTGTAATAATGCTTGTATGTTAGAGTTACTATGTGAAAGACACACTCACTCTGTTCTCATGCGAGTGTCTCATGGTGAGTTTTTATTTTTAATGGCATTATCAGTCCTTCAAATGTAATGTGATGTAATGCGATTCTCTACCTTCACACGTACTGTTACATGACTTGCAAATGATGTAGCATATCTTTATATATATATCTTCTTCATACGCTCAACATCAGCTCCAAAATAATTGATTCCTTACTTAAGGACAGATGCCTTAATATTGCCTGTCAGTGCAGAACAGGGGGTGTCTGAATTAGAAGTGAAAACAAGGTGACCTACAATGCCTGTCAAAGACTGGACCAGGAGGCTGCGCTAGCTAACTGTGGATACATCACAGGTTCTAGCTAAGTGAGCTCGTCTATCACGGAGGAATACAACCCCCTAGTGAACGCAATCAAAATCCATAAGTTGCTACAGTCTTGTCATACAATTCAAACCCCCTGCTGAGGGAAAGGTTTGAAGTTTCATTATGCTATAACTTCAGATTGAGTTCTGTGCCACCCCATATGTGGGTCCATAATTTCAACAGCATTTCCAGCAATATTAAGGAATTCTGGACTTATTCCTTTAAAAGTCATTAATACCAGATCTTGTACTGGACTGCCCAGGACTGTGCTGAATGGATTGCTGTAAAGAGAACAGAGAGAGCTGTTGCAGCATGTCTCGTTGACTTACCAATTCATATTCATCGAACAGCTGTATCAGAGAAGGGGGGATGAATGTATGAAAGCCTTGTAGAAACGCATTAATCTGCGGCTGAATGGCTCGGGTCATACGCAGTTCAGTCACAAGCTGGACATACTCGGCCTGATAAAAGGAAACATGCAAAGTTTACCAAATGAAAGCGTTTCTTTAAGAAAAATCAAAAGAAACTGCTTTTTTTGTACATTCTTCACATTACAGAGCCTTTTCCCATTTCTGAGAGCAGATATGCTTCATGGAGCGAGTCTACCAAGTCAGCAATCACACAGCCCCCGCCTCCCCTTGGCTGAATTGAAATTGCACGATGCATGCCTCAAGTCTCTGTGCTGCAGCACAATGGAAATTCAATATTTCTACCACAGTGTGAAAAGCATACCTTTACAAGAGAAAAATCTGAACAGCAGTAATACAACTGCATACAAAATCCTACCAGATGAATAGGTTTCATCCTTGAGTATTACCCCGTATAAAGGCTGAATATAATAAATTGCACATGTATGTGAAATCATTATAGAACTCACAAAATACAATCTTCCTTGTACATGGATCCTATCCTTATGTATTTTTCCCCTGAACAATAAAATGTAGAGGTACATTAAAGCACCTATTTGCTTAAAAGGGAGACAAACATAAGAAAGGCTTCAGAAACACATCAGGTATTCAATTTTGTGTGTGTGTGGTTGGTTTTGGCAATTATGATAAATACTTGTAAATGGAAGTCATGGATTTAATTGTGTTTACCAGCTGGATGTTTTGCAGCCATATATTAAACCAAGACTTTGGATACATGGAGACCAGACAATATAATACATAAAGATACATTTCAAAGCATTCAAACATGCCTGTTGCATATAGTTCTAGCCAATTTAAGGTTCTTCTATTCTCATTTAAATAATCTCAATTACAGTATATTACAATCACATTGGGTGTACAGTAAATGTATATATGTTAGTTATATGAATCTGTAAAAACAATCATATAAAAATAATGAATCATACAAAATATAGATCAAATTATATTTTAAAAGGTAACTAACAAAATATTTCTCAGTACTTAGATGGCACTGCTTCCCTTTATAGTGCAATGTACAAAGATAAAAATCATGTAGTCAGGGCATTACAAACTCACCTGTTCTATGAGATACAATGATAACTTTTTGGTTTCCTGACTTGTAACAAGTTCAGAACACCAAGAGACTTCTGAACCAATCTGAAAAACGTACTCCCTACTCTTTTGAGGGAACACATGTGTCTTCTAGCAAAAGTGGCCTTGGCACATGGTAAAATACTAGCAGCTTTGTCATAGATGAAGCCAAGTCTATCCCCTTACAACTCACTTTATACATTCTGTGCAACACTGATGAAAGAGAAAGAGCTAAATGTATGAGATTTCAGACAGATTTTGGATCTGCGACCTTTTGGTTCACATGTGAGTTGCTTCATACTTAGGCATTCCGTTGAATGCAGAATGTATATTTACATCATTTAGGAAAGTTTTACCAGCTCTGTCAGACAGTCAGGAACACTCAAACTAACCATCATCATCACACACACACACATTTAAAAAAAACCTGTACTCCCTTGCTTATCAAACACTGACCTCTACAGGCCTTTTTCAACATTTCATATATAGAACAGATGTTTGGTCAATGTTGTTTTATATAGAAGAGGGCCAGGACAGTGTTTTGTTATTGCAGAATTGAAAGACAGTGCAAATAAGTGCAATCTACATACTTTTTAAAGGTGGGAAGCTGCATCAGCATGCGTAGGCTGCAAAGGAACAAGTAATAGGTTTATTCCATGCTGAAAAAAAAAGAAGAAAGAAAACAAAGTTATGTCCGTGGAGCCTTCTTCAAGTGTGAGGGCTGACACCTCATACCTGAAGAAGGCTCCACGGCCTAAATGTGTTTTCTTTCTTCTTTTTTTTCCAGCATGGAATAAACCTATTACTTGTTCCTTTACTATTTAAAGGGTTTTATATCTCTATGATTATCTCACTTAAGGTGTGAAACAAAACCCGAATCTCTTGAAAAGGAGCACTGTGAGCATTTCTGTCCACGTACCCACCACAAAAATACCACAAATCAATTATCTAAAAGAAGAAAATAACAAAACAAAATACAGTAAAAAAAATGAATCAGACAACTGCATACTGCAACCAGATTAAATATTTATAAGTCACAGGGTAAATGTAAAGTTACAACTTTAAAAACTGCAGATTCAAATATTTTGTAATGACATGACAGATTAAATACATATAGAAATCACAGAACCACTGAAACGATCACCTTATTGTCCTGGGTAACCAGGATACTGACACCACCTGGCTTCAATGGTACTTCTTCCATGGCACCAAACACATCGGTTTCCACTGAAAATGTTAGCTCCAGGCCCAAATCACTGATGTCATTATCCAGAATCCACTGCAGGTTTTTAGCATATTCAGGGTCAATGGAGGCCACATCCTGGTAGTTCACAGGAATTCCTAAGTACACAGCCAAAAATAATGAAAACATCACACTACCTTTCCCTTGAATGTTTTACTTTTACTTTTCCATTATTAAATCGTATACATTATTACCATTTATTGCATTAACTGTCATTTGTGCCATATTTTCAAATGTGACATATAGCATGTAAGCCACCATAGTAAAAAGACTGCAAGGCTGGGATCACCCACTTGGCAATCTACATTATCTGCTCAAAACTCTGGAAATTCAACGATAATATTTGAAGTCAGAATCAATTTAGATTCAGTTTAGATTTATTCTTCTTGGTGTCATCTTCTCCTGATAAGTTACTATTTTTCCTCCATGTGAATGGCAAACTGGAATTCGTTGTTCATATTCACTTCAAGAAATAAGAAACAGAAAACTCCTAACAACGTAGGCTAGTAAAATCTTGATTTTAAAGTTAAAAAACGATCTTTTATACAGATTACAACAAACATATAAGAAGCTTATTGTACAATATTAAAGTTTCATTTGACTAAAATCAAGACCAAAAAGTATTCATATTTCTGTATTTGTATTAAACAGTACTGTATTACTGCACAGCACAGTAACTACTAGATTTTCACTATGCAATTACTCGCTATGTAGTGCTTTTGTTTTATTGTACTATAAGAGAAATAATGTGATTTATCTGGCTGTGAAGTGACATACGTTAGCAATACCAATACAAGATACCCCATCCAAAAAAATTAATGAGTCCTTGTTATTAAATGAAAAATTTCAGAAAGTAGCATTAATTTGCTCTTCATCACGATATTAAAATCGGAATATCATAAATCCACATTTGAATAGCTAGCATAAAACTAAAAATCATTAAGATACAGTCAAGAGAAATGTGTTACTTTACTGTACCTCATCTATACTTTTACAGAAAATGGCGATGGCTTTCTGTCGATACAAAAGATCATGCCATCTGGTTGATTAAAACTGTTAAGTCTTAAAGCATGACAGCTGAAGGCATTCCAACACCAAACAAATGAACAGACTGGCTCTCACATATGAAACTCTAGAAATGAACAGGCTGACAATGGGAAATGTAGCTTTAGAGAAGATGAACAGAATGTTGCAGAAGGGTGTAGATTGGGCAAACCTAATAATGGTATTAAGGTGCAAAAATAAACTATCCAGGGTTGGACTGCTATAATGAATAAAACAGTACTAAGAAAATGGAGCACTACAACACACAGCCATGTAAAAATAAAATAGAGGATGGAAAATGCAGTAATGTAAAAATGAATTGAGTGGAGTGAAAAATGTAGTTATCTGCTTTTGCCGTTAACATGCTCTTTCTCAGTATGCTACTGCCTCTATTTGCATGCTGAGAACAGCCCAATCCATCATACAGTATCTTCCTTCTAAAATAAAATGGTATCTGCTTCCTAATAACAGCAGTGAATTCAGCATTCAGTGAACATTGTTTAGCATGCTGACTAGAAGGAATAATGGAATGTGCTCATATATTCACATGGAACTGCTTCACAGTATATTAAAAAGATAAGCAGAATGACATGCATTTTGGAGGAACTAATTTAATAAAATTTGGATACAAGTTAAAGTACACTTTCTACTCATACAATGCTCAGAAATACTTTAAAATGCAATTTCAATCTTTGCTTTCATGCAATACAATATTGTCATCAGGATGTGTCTTCCAAGTTTAACATAAGGCAAAATATGTTTGTCTGTTCTCAGATGTTAATCACGGCTCTCCAAACGACAATTTAGGAGGAAGACATCTAAGGAAACCTATTCTGTTGATGGAGGTGTCATTAGTGGATCAGAACACAATATACGTGTCTCTGGACCTGAATTAAATGCTTCAGTGAAATAGGATTTGAGATCATCTTTTAGATATTGCATTACACCAAGATCCTGACTATTTCTAGAGATCTAAAGATCCCATGGACTCAAAATTGAAAGTACTGACCGGGATAAGTCCTGCTTTAACAGAGAAGACAACTGAAAGATACTGACAAAGACAATCTAAAGGAAAAATTAAATATTGACAATGAAACCAAAGGCCATAAGCAGAAATTAAGTTCAGGTGCTTTCAGAACTGAAAATATAGGTACTTCTTCCCAGAGGTTTGTGGTGTCTGGAACACACTACCAATTATTGCAGTTGAAGATAATGATTGTTCTGTCAAATAATTTGCAACAGTTCTTTCTATTCTTAGTGATGTTACTGCATATTTTCCCATTCTTTCTCTAGCAGTCTGTATATTACTGCAAGCCTGTGAATCAAAAAGACAATGCAACTAGACGTGTGGGACACAAGACTGAAAACAATGACAATAATAATATGAATATGTTCAATTGAGCTGTGTATCAATCAATATTGTCATAATTTAATTTTACAGTGAATTATACAGTATCACTGGTACATGTAATAAATCTGTACTTTAATAAAGTACACACCCCAAGAGACTTAAATCAAGTATTGTATTTTATAGTAAAGGGAAGAGAGACCTCTGCTGGAAACACAGAACATACATACTTAAGTTACTGTATGAAAGGCCGTTCATTTTGCAAACAATACTGTGAAGAAAACTGAGTGGCCCAAACAACACCTATGAAACACATTTTCATTTCTCTCACCTAAATGTGGTGCTCTGAGTGTGGTTTGGACACGGCTGCCATGAATGCAGATTTAACACATTTCTCATATCATGATTGCTTCTGCTGTGGTGCCTTAAGATACCCTTGAAACTGCTGTTTGTTTCCAAGGTTCAATTAGTGAGCCCTTTATCACCAAAATAAATAGATTTCTCCTGTTCACTTACGGTGCACATTCACACTCTACTTCATTTACGGATATATATAATGCATCTTATGTGCTGAACTTAATCAACATTAAATTCAGACCATATTTTTATTATCGTTTTTCTAAAGAAACTGGAAATTGCTTCCTAATTTACTTTACATCTGTCATTTGGTAACATATTAGAATATGACATATAAGTACATAACAAATGTGTACTGCTTTATTTGATTGCTTTTTACTGGATATTCCACTGTACATAGTTTTACGTATTGAATTACATCTTAATTTGTATATATTGCTTCTAATAGTGTCTTTTTTAAAATGATTAATAATAATTTTTAAAATCTTAAAAATACCTGATGGGAAATATCAGAAAGTATTTTGGTGTCTTTGAAGGTAATCCGGTGATACTGGATAAGGATTTTGTAATGTTATCTCAAGCTGCTGGCAGTGCATCAGTAAATGACTGAAAGTATGCACTTGCATTACTCTTATCTAATTTTTAATGTCACTCTGGTATTATCCATTTAAGTGTGCTATGTATAGCAGTCTATATAAACATAAAAGGGGAAAAAAATGTGTACAAATCCAATTTAGAAGTGTGTTTGAACTTCACTGTCTGTTTGGTCTTTTTCAGTTTGATATCTTCTATTTGTTTTTTTTTATATTACTGCTTCTATTTTGAATAGAGAACAAAAATTAAATCACCATATTAATGCATTTTTTTAATTCTCTCCACTCAGCTTCAGTACTTCTTTTTTCTATACAAATCACAGTATTATAATCTGACAGAGATTCTTTGACAGTTATCAGTTGTCACAATATTCCTCTATAATGAAGAGTAGACCAGTACATATATGCAGGGTGCAATTTCTTTTGCCACAGTTGATTCCTTTAAGATACATTTTAAACAATAATATGACACTCCAGCACAGTTTAACAGATCATATAAAAATATCTTACCAAGGATATGTTTGTAGAATGATCGGGTGAAATAAATATTGACCAGCTGTCGGTGGTACAAAGCTAATCCCAGAATCTGTCCAGCAAAGCGGAAGTAGTTTAGGTGGTCAGGATTGACAGATGAATTACTGTTTGGCTGAAATGTAGTTCCTGAAATGCAAAAAAAGGCAAAAAAATCAATACTGATCTGTCTCCTAAGTTCCATTTTCTGTACACATAAAAAACAAACCAATTATATTCCAGCTCTGGGTCTGCATCCTGCAGTCTATCACAATTACAGAGATTAAATGCCAAATCAATCATCCTCAATTTAAAAAAAAAGTAAATCACTGATCATTTGTACTGAATGAACAGAAAAGTAAATTCAATGTGTGGATAGGGTTGGAATTTTCACTTTGTTATAACCCTTTTTTCATTTGTTAACAATTTAAAATCAATTGTATCACGTTTAGGAGGTAAGGCTTTGATCTAAACAACAATCATTGCTTAGCATCTATCATATTTGAAATAATTCACTAACATCTGCCTCATAACATATAAGTATAATATTGAAGAATAATACACCACTCTTCCTGGTTTTATAAATAATATAGGTATGAAAACAAACCAGTAATTCTGAATATAAATGCTAGGAGATAAAGATATTAAAAATTGATTAAACCTACAAAATTGTCACAAAAATCAAATTCCTGATACCCTGCCAATGTCATCACCACATTGAGTAACACTGACAACTGATGGAATCAGATGTGTAGAGAAAAACTGCTGTAATGTAAGTTATTTCGCATTCATGCTAACAACTGTGTATATCCAGTACACAATTTGATTACTAGAGAGAAGCCAGTCACCCGTACATTCAAAAAAACTAATTAATTTTTGCAAAAGAAAAACACCAGCAGCTAGTAGCTTTTTGTTTTTAAAAAAGTGCTTGGTTATACGAGACCACTTTTTCCTCACACAGGAGCAACATACCATGTAATAAAGAGGGAAACACGATTTAGGAGAGTGTGAAGTAACTTGAGGTGTTAGTGAATTTGTGCTGATACAGGGAATCGGAAAAACAGAAATAGTCTTAACAGAGAAAACAGAAGGAGATTGCCATCACATATGTGAAGGTGGATTTTAGAATGCCCTGTGACTATCTGTAGGATGGCGTATAGGCACAGAGAAAAGGGAACAGCTGTTAATTAATAGATAAATCATTAACAATGTTCATTCAGTTGCTTGAAAAATGGTTTGGGACTGTGCAAATATTTTTTTTGGTATAAATGGTACAAAATCTCTGTTTATAAAATGTATTATAAGGCCAAAGAAAACCTAAAGATCCTTTAAAGCTAGCTTAATATACAGTATACTGTATATGCATGCAAATTTATAATTAAAAACCAGTTGAACGATTCAAAAAAGAACCATTCATAGCACTGAAAAGTACAAATGTGATCAATACTTCATGGTGCCTTCCAATGTCTTACTCAGTTATGCATCACGTATATGAATGAGCTTAACAAACCTGATCTGCAGGGCTGTAGTCAATTCCTGAAATACTTTCACTATCATGAAGACCAGGGAGTGGATTTACTCATCACATCTCGTGAATGGCCAGGTCAGGGCAGAACTCCGATGCACAGGCTTCCTTACCAGTTTAGTAATCTAAAAGCAGTGTAAATGGCTTCCTTAAAATAATGTGATTTTGGACTGAATTAAAAAATAATGTGATTTAGGGGAATGAATGTTCATAAGTCCCTTCTGGAGAACTGATATATTGGTTGGACAGTATCACTTCTTCAAAAATACTATTGCCATCTATAAGATCATCCAGTAGCTCAAATTATAAAACAGTTTTACTAATTCCACTTTTTGTTTGCAGATGGTTCAGCTCAAATATGTTTATATGATTGTATTACTCAAATACACAAAGGCTATTTGAGCGCTATATATACCTAGATGTAAGATTTCAAAAAAGTCATGGAAGAATGTGCCATCTTTTTTGCAAACCACAGTAAATAGTTGACATGAAGTATAGTTTATGTCTTGCTGCTCTCCCATTTTACCTCATGCTGTGGAACTAATGTCTGGAGACTGCCTTGCATATGTTCTACCACTTTAGCAGTTAATTGTCAATTTTTGTTTTCCACACTCCTTTTCACAGCACAAAGTGTCTTGTCTTCTGGATTTGGGTGTCTAGGACACATAAATACTTGCCTATTCACTCCTATTGAACTTCATGATCACCCTGTTTACAGTCAGCAGCAGAATATCTAATGTCTAAACAAATTTGCTGCTGGGTTATACCAACAAAAGTGTACACATCTATGTAACTGTTTTCAAGGCCCATTTCTTTCTTATTAATCTCCAGTTTGTAGTGAGGCCATAGCTATTTTTCTGTATTCCTTTATTTCTGGGATATAACTCGATTTTCAGTATAACTAACTTTACCATCTATTATTTTAAAAATCTCACACAAAAGAGCTCAAAAACAAACAAGCCAGAAGAGTGATTTGGGGTTATCTTCTTAGAATATTAACCTCTGCTTAATCGTCTTCCTCCCAGATGCAGCAATCTGAAGGAATCTAATATTATAGTACTCATAATGATCTATTATTTAACCTGTTTTGTGAAGATTACCAAAGAAAATCTCAACAAGCTTAAACATATTTTACCATTAGCTCCTTTCCTCTCGGCATTTTAAATTAATTGCATTTTCTTTGCAACAACTCTCTAGGTCCTATCATCTCCTCCCACACTCTTTTCATAGCATTTTTAATCTGGTGATGCTCAAATTGTTCTCTTTTCCACCCACTGTTAATCATGTATCGTCCTGTATTTCTGCCTGTTTCGCAGGCAGCTCATCCTGGAAGCACTATCATTATCTTAAACTCAACTTCACAAACTGTGTCCAGCAGTTTCCATCGCCACCCTATCACCCTCCTCTATCAACAACCTCAATGTCACTCTAGACTCCTGTGTCTCCTACAACCAATACATCTCTTCTTTATCATGTTGCTACTTCTTGAGCAACGTTCCTTACTGGCTATTCTACACAGGAATCCTAAGCCCAACCCTTTATCTTTGGCAATCCCTGGCAAAGTTATTTAACAGAATCACAGTTAGTTATTATTGATATGATGAAACCCTGGGGCTTTTTTGGTTACTGTCAAGGATTCCTGCATCCTACATACATAGCAAACAGCGCTCCGGTAACCAAGTGCTCAACGGCAGAAAATAACAAAAATGATTAACCATAAGAAGTATCTCAACAGCTGTTCTGGCAGATGAAGACTGCAACACAATGAGACATCCTTGGTCACCATGTTTGCATTCCTTCAAGATGTGTGGGGAAGCTGGAGTGGAATGGTTTTTCCACAAAAAACGCACAACACATTTTATCCCTAGGACATGGTAAGTGGTGGCAAGAGCAGGGCAGTGAGAAAGTAAATATGGAAGACAAATCAGTGGTTTTCCTTTAATGTTCTGTATCTATACTACCTTTACACAATTACAGTTATTACAAATTTTTTTGCATAACACTTGCATTGTTGTCTCAGTTTATGCTAGCCACATGCTAAGCAAATACCTGTAATAATAAAGTCTATAGCATACAAAAGTAGCAATAGTTTTTCTGTTCTGGCAACTGTGCATTAAATTCCTAAACAGGGATTTGATTTCAAAATATTGAAACAATACAACTAGCAAGAACAGTCTCAAATGTGAGGAGGCACATCTTACTAACTGATAACTGACACTATATACTGTACATGCAAACATTATAACTACCTTAACCATAAACCAGCATAGTCTACTTTTTAAAATGTAAGTTCTTTTTCTAACCTTAGCCTAATAATTTTGCTATTTATGAATAGGTTTTCAGCTAGCTTCAAAACTAAATACAAATTACACAGGCAAACATTCCACATCAAGTCAAGAAAGAACCTAAAAAAGAAAGTGTGGCGGTTCATTTAAGTAATAGTTCTCATTTTCATTAAAATAATACATGCTCATTTGTATTTCCCCAGGGTCTTCACAAAGAAAGTCCTCTGAATGTTGTAGTGTTTAAAGCAAAGATAACTGCTTTGACATGTGTTTGACATTCACATCTTTAGAAAACCATGAGTCATAAGTAATGTACCATGATTATGTTGATCAAAATTGTTGTACTGAAATAGTCACCAGTGTTACCTCCACACTGCATAATTGGAGTGCATTGCTGTGCAAACTTTGTAGAGCGTTTATAAATGTTATAAGCACCAACAATTTCAAAACCTCCATTATTAATTTTTACTACTATAACAACTTGGACTCTTTATTAGTATCAAGCTTGTTATTTGGGAATATTTTATTCTAATTTATTAAACTCTTCAAAAAAACCTGATCACAGCAATTCAAAGTAAACTAGATGTTAGCAGCCAATATGAACAGCTGTAGTAGCTAAGCCATGTCAATCACTAATTAAAATCTAATTCACTTAAATGACATTTTATTCCTACTGCTTGTGCTGCAAAATACAGATATATGGATTAATATCTTTAAAATGGTTATTTATTGTTGTAGTCTTCTTATTTATTATTGTCATCCTGTAAAGCGCTTTGAGAAGCCACCTTTAAAGGCGCTATATAAAATAAAGTTTATTATTATTATAAAATATCAGTAGCATTGCCATAGAATTGTCTTCTTTTGCTTTTTCATCCTCAGTATTGTTTGCAGTTTTATCATTATCAGACACCGTAATTATAAACTCCACTCTTTTGTTAAGATATTGATACGTACAGTAGATATTAATCAGAAGCTGCACGCTACAGCACATACTGTACACACTTGTCTCACTGTTTACACATCACAATTTCTATGCAGCAAAATGACAGCATGTTATTGGCTACAACAAAAATGACGATACCTGATAATTTAACTACACTTGTCTTTTAAATCCAACCTTTTGTATATTTAGCAGGCTTTCCCAAACTATTTAGGATAGGGGATATACCTCATTATTTAGTGTTCCCCTATGTACATGTATTTTGGGGTTCATTGTACAGTATAATAAAGTTTTTTTTTGTTTTATGTTAATGATTCTCATAAAAATAAATTAGGCATTTCTTTCTTTTACATTACATTACAATGCTTTCAGAATATTTCAGACATTTAATACTTTCCTGCTACCTCTTCTGTTGAGACTATCTTTCTAAATATACAAGCACCTATTGATTTAACAGAATACCATTTCTATCATTTTCATTTAGCCAAGTTTCAAGCACTTCCATTAAATAATTTCATGCTCATGCAGTAGCTTGTATTTCTAATATATGTTTCTTAATTTTTGTACTTTTCAATGCCTAAGGCATTTTAGAACATTTTAATTTCAAATACAAATGAAAAATACTTTCATATTCGGGAGAAAATTACATCACTGAGCACAATTCATACAAATATTAAATAGAAAGTGAAAACACACAAACTACATGAAAGGAAAGAAATAAGATAACTAAGAATAAGATAATTTTAGTCAACTAAGTTGACTAAAATTAAAGATAGGCAGCAATGTAAGAATACCGAGATGAAATTGTGACACTTAGTTACGATGCAGATGTGCATCTCATATTATATTAAGATTTTTATATCTTACCATAAATAATTATATTTAGCACATTTTAAACAAAATGAACAAAAACTGAATTAGTAAAACCTTATGTATATGTTGCTGGAATCTCTCACATAAACCCAAAATTAGAGAAAAATACAGAGAACAATCCTGGCACTGTGAAAGATTGGAAGAAGTTCTAGATGTAAATTTCTAAATGGCAGACAAGTCTTAATTATATTTCTATTCAAACAAGAATAAAAGACTGCTAAGGGCACTATGTAACATCCTTTGGTAGATAACCATAAACTGACACATCCCACCAGGGAACCATTTCATATTTCTCTGCCAAAGATTATGGTTCAGGATACAAACATCTGTGGTGTTCAATCATTGTCAGCCATTTTCCCTCCATATTAACGAATGAGATGGGAAAGAATTTCTAATGTTTTACTGCAGTCACCCAAAGAGACAGTACTCACTAAAAGTTACATGTTAAAGTTACTATATTATAAACAGAAGCCTAGCATTAGACCTACCAAATTCAAGGTCAGATATTAGTCCAGGCACTGAATAAAAAATATGGTTCCTGAGCAGCTACAGTGGTATTTGTAAAAAAAACATATTTTAAAAATAAAACTTTAGCAGTTTAGTCAAACTCACCATCAGCAGACTGTGTAAACAAGGCATAATCTGGGTTAATGATCTCATTGGACAGGATATCAAACCATTCACGTACAACACCCTGGCCCTGGCAACAGAGGATATCAAAATGTTATAAGAACAAAGACCATCAAAGACAGGGCGCAAACAGTGTGTCCATCATTCACCATTCATACCCCCTGCAGACCCTCAGAAAGTAAGAGACATCTGAAAGGCATGTGGATCCTGAAGACAGAGCCCCAAAGCAATAAGGAAAAAAGACTCTCCTTTGTTATCCATTCCAGCCGACTGCTGCTTAGGAAATCTTACATATCCCATGTACTTCAGAGGGGGTTTGGATTGCTTTGTATTTTTCTGTTGAGCTTTGCAGTTGAAAGTGTTTTGCTTCTTTTGGCTACACCCTTCTGAAAAGTTACATGATAACATAAGGTATTATCTGGGATCCCTGAGCCAGCTGGGTTTTTTAGCCCCTCTATAAGTAATTCTCCTACATTCGGGATTGGATTCTGCACAGTACATAGCATTCCTTATTTCTACACTAGTGAGTTATTACATACATTGGCCACATTACCTCCATTAATGCTATGTCATGAAAGGAACTAGCTTTGCAATTATGGATTTGAAAGTACTTTCATTTGATGACCTCCAAGTTAGCTTGTGACCTAGATTACTTATCTCAACAACAATATAACACACTACAAAGTTGAAGGATTCTCTGAATTTGGGCTTTGATGATTTAAATTGAAGTAAATTGGGTGAAGGCCATTGTGAATCTTTACATATTTGAATAAATTCATCAAAAGCTAAGAATTCAAACATTAAAATTTAAATGTGAACTGTATGTCACTTGCACTTTCTGATGTAGTTTCTGTTCCTATGCTCACCAGCTTTGTACTACATTAACATTTTTGTACAAATCCATAATTTACATGCACACATATTCAGGCAGTGGACACAAAATGGAATCAGCAAAGTAAACTCAATGATTAGGGTGATGGGCCACCATGTACATCCACTACAACCTGTATGCATTGTGGATTAGAGGCTACCAGCATCTGGAATTCAGTAGAAGGGATGCAGCAGCATTCTTCTGTTTACTGAAAAGTCAATAAACACACACCTGGCTGTTGGAGCTGGAAATAGCAGTCTCCGGCATTGTTCCAGAAAATGAGCCCCACTAAGGTATCCCACTCTATGGTGTTCTCAGCAGACTGTTTTTGATTAAACTGGCTGCTTGAGCCCCATGTTGAAATTGCAGTTACTTAATTTGCAGCTGCTTGCCTGTTTCGCCTTGTGCCTTGTACAGATATCACAATCCTGCAGTATGTGTTTTGTTAAGCTGTATTGGTCAATAAATGCCAAATGCCCCCCAGATTTCATTAAACTCTCCATATGCAAACAATATTTTTATAGATGGCCCTCAGCATAGGATATCATTTGCTTAAGTCACATATGAGCCTCACCTGTAATACCTGCAATATGGCCAATTGTTCCTGAAACTAGAGATTAAAGTGTTAAAAAGTCAAGGTTTAGCTGTTGTGCCTTTATTTCCAAACAAACCTTGAGGTGTTGTGACAGGAAAAAAATAGAATCATAGGGCAGAGAAAATGGGCTAATTTGTTTGAATTTTTTTTTGTCATTTCCTAAATTTGCTTCTGCCGGCTTGACTCAGCCTTGCAAACTCCCTGCATGTCATCTCATTTAATTGTCCTTTATCTCAGAATATTTTCTGTGTGTTTACCCACCATCCCTTCTTCTCCATGGAAACGCACTGCAATCCCTTGCTTCAACTTCTCATTACTTGATTTAGACACAACTTCACAGCTGCTCCGGAAAATAGATTCTGCAAAATAAAACAGCTAACTGATTTTTTGCTTTGTTTTTATTTAAATGAGGGTTCTCTGGTGATCAAAACGAAACCTATTCAAATGAAACAATACCATTTAAGTACATTGCTGTAATGTTTATAACAATGTAGCAATAAGAAGCTAATCTTTTACATATGAAATGTTCATTGATACACTTTGAAGATAAAATGAAACAATACAGGCTTCTCTATTCCCAGTGCACTGTCAATAAAAAATAATTGCTCCTGTTAAAGTTTAATTTTAATCATCCCAATTAGGGGTCTTTCTACATGCTGCCGGACCACCTGGGGATACATTTAGTTGAATGCTTAAAATGTTAGGTTTTGCTGTAACACTGTTTTTCAGAAGGATATTTAAGAAAAAAAAACTCATGCAAATATCTGATTTGGGAATCAAGCACAATGTTCTTAAAGTATTAAATAAAAAGTGGTTGTAGTAACCATGGAAGTTTACTTTACTTAAATATTTTAACAATCTATTATATTTGATCTAAACCCTGGAAGTCAAATATGCATCTCCCACACAAGAGAAGTCCTAAAATATTTCCAGCAGTAATACAAAAAGGAACTTTTCATTTTTTGCTAAGCAATTAGCCCAGCAAAATTCAGTGCTTTTAAATAAAAAAATCTCAATCTTTTCTATAAAGGTCTGTCCAGGAAGAAATCCACTTAAAGAACAATGTAATAATGTAATAAATGTAGTCAATAATTTCATCTTCAATTCTTTAAATAAGGTACTAATTTATTAAAGAACCCTTTGGGGTGGCAAAGTGGTTAGCATTGCAAACTCGCAGCACTTGGGTTCTGGGTTCAATTCTTAGGGCACTATCTGCGTGGAGATCTGTGTGGATTTCCTCTGGGTACTCCGGTTTCCTTCCGCAGTCCAAAGACATACTGGTAGGTTAATAAGCTTCTGGGAAAACTTACCTGGTGTGAGTGTGTGTGTCTGTTTGTGTCTGTGCATGTCCTGTGATGGAATGGTGTCTCACCCAGGTATATCCTGCCTTGCAACTATTGTTTGCCAGGATAGGCTCCGGCAAAAACCGGGATCCTGTACTGGATGAAGTTGCTAGAAAATGGATGAATAGATTTTTTTCTGTTTTATTCTTTGTGCATTTGTGTCTGCTGGTTTTTCTTGCTTGAGTACCAAGGGTTCTATATCTCAGCTTGAGGGTCAGAAACATAGACAGCAAATTTTGCTGCTAAACAGTATGTAAATACTTTGCACGCCTACCCTCATCCATAACATTTCAGTCATCCGTAATAACATATGCCAGGACCACAGTATTGCTTATGGCAATATTCAGACATATTAGAACACAACCACTTGTCATTTATGAAGCTTTCCATGCAAAATATATTAACCCACTGCATTTACCGTTTTAACTAAATACACAGTATATGAATTGAAGTCAAATGTAACCACATTTCAACAGTTCTTGGAAATGTTTTTAGTCTTTGGATTGCCTTCTTGGAATATGAATTATCTGCCAAGATAGCATCTTTCTATGTTAAATAGCACAATAACAATTTTGAAATATTTACAAATGAATCATAACTCCATAAATCATGCAAAGAGCTACCAAAAACAAACAAAAAATTCTCACCCAGTTTACAGTGAGACAATTTCTTATGATATTTGAAATTGTTTGCATATTACAGTCACAAGTAATATTGTACAATCAGAACACATTGTGGAAAACTCTAATATTTTATTAAATAGTATCGTTCAAATCCCAAACCACAGAAGAAAATAGGTATTCCAATAATTTTCATACATTATTAAATGTGAAGAAAATATATTATATTGAAGAGATTAGAGATTATGAATTTTCTATTTTTAATATGCATACAGTGTCAGCATGAAATCGTATATCTCCCTTTAGAAAACCATGAATTTGCCAGCAATTAGCCATAGCACAGAAAGAAACAAAGTGGATGAGAGACCACTTCACCGACTGCTGCATGTGCAGTGATTATGTTTTAAAGAAAAACAACAATCTGAAAGCAGTAAGAAGAGTGGATTTAGTACTGCAATAGCAGCCTGAAGCAAGTCAATTAAAACATATTCTCAACTTGACATTCAATTTTGAGAAACATCCTCTTAATAACATATAGTACTGCTTGAGAAGTGTCTGAAACAATCTGCTATTCATACTTAATTTGCAACAACTGTGGTTCATATATGCTACTGAAAGCTGCTAATATACACCAAATTCATATCAGTTTGTTCTCTCTGGTGGCACTGAAACTTTGGTGACACTGGACTTTTCAAAGCTTGCAAGAACAGCATGCACTCATTACAATTTTGTGAAAGAAAAAATGAGCTGCAAAGCAAATCCACAGCGGCAGACTGTAAAATAGAGGGTACCAACTGCAGGAACTGAAACATTCAGAACAAAGAACATTTCTAAGAAGCAGATAACAAAAGTTATGCTTGAACATATAACAAGAGATTGCATGCAAGTGAAAGGGGTAGATAAGATTTGATTCATGGTATGGTAATACTGGATGTCTTCAGTCCTTCCTTCAATTCACTATAGTGCATCTTGAGACTGGAAACGTTCCTTTAGAAGAGCAGACATAGGAAGGGTTACTAAGTCATGTTCTTAGTTTAAATAAATGAGGGGCGACGACAACACCGAAGCTAACTGTCTCCTCTCAATACTTCTTATTCACAGGTTAGTAATAATATTGTAACGCATACGGCCTCCATTGCTTGCGAGAGCTGAGCTGGCTTACCAGAGCCGTGACGTCAATGCCCTCCCCTGTGAATAGCAGTTGCCACAGCCGCTGGGCCGACAGGAGATTTCACTTTGGCTCAAGAGGCGGGGTCCCTGTTGAGTGACGCCGGAGGCCTGGGTTCAAGTCCCCGACGGTGGGGGGCCCACGTGATGCAGCAGCGGCGAGGGTGCCCACGTGAACCCCAAAGCGTTACAATATATTTATATGTTACATGTGATGTTCGAGTTTGTCATCCCTGAATATATGCAAAGTTTGTCTTTACGTAGCAGTGGAGCTGATAACTATTCTTTGTTGCGTACATCACTTTGTTAGTTTAGAATAAATGAGTTACAATGAAAACACTGAAGCTAATGCCCTCTCAATACTCCATATTTATAGTTATGGTGATCCCATGCTTGTATTGCTGGTACCTGTAACACAAGCCCTGATCTTGTCCCACTGAAAATCATAAAGTATCAGGAAGAATTTAGATATGCCCCTATAAGTACTGGTGTAAGAATGTGTAAGTCTGAGAATTTTGGGGGGCCTGTTTGTGGGGTGCAGGCATTTTGTTAGAAAAAAACATTTAGGGAAAAATGTTTGATTTTACTCTTTTGAAAAGTGCTGGATAAAATTAAGAGCCTTGCCCTAACCAGCACATTGCTGTTGTCTCCAATTCAGTCCCTGTCAGATATAAGATTTGGTTTGAAATATTGTTTAAGAAAAGTTTATCGACTCTGCTAATTTGGCTTCAGGCCTATGTAAACAAAACCATGGCACCAGCCATGCACAGCAACCATGGGGTTTACAATGTAAGTGTGATGTTTTAAGATTATTGAGTGCCTTAGGTAAGTAAAGAATGACTCACTTCACAAGCATATGTATCAATAACTCACCTAGAAAAGGACATTCTTGTTTACTTCCAAGGGGCTTTATGTCTTGTCTAGGTGTGTTTATGGTACAGAGGGCAACCTGACATTATGGTAATTTAGCTTAGTGAACCACAAAGATAAAATAGTTCTACAGAGTGCGTGTGTCATGCCCTAAGAATCACTGAGAGAACCTCCTGTTGCCAATTAAACATATTTCATTTCCATAATCCAGTTAGTCAAGCACAGCTGAAAAGAATTTAGGAAATTCTGAATAATGCTTCTGCGAAACGATCTCCAAGGCCATTTGTATTTGGAATGGCAATGACTTTGATATTATTTTCTTAAATCACAATTAAAATACTTGAACAATGTCCCCTATGGCAGTTCAAAATATATATATTTGTGCAAAACTGATATTCTTTAGATTCTTTAGTGTTTTCTAATACTTGTGAGGAAGACTATCATAAAGTATTTTTTAAAACAACATCTCAATCTGTACTAATAAATCTAAATATTGTGTTTTTTTCTGCTGGGAGTATGCATCCTATCAAAACATTTTTCTTTGCCATGACATCATCAATAGGCAAGCACATGGCACTGCAGGACAAACAAAAAGTATTGTAGAGTGAATTGATCAACCATAACCACAAACATGGGCAACCACAACTTAATGATCTTAACTATTTGCATTGGGGACTAAGCCCAACAAACGAGAGCCCAAGTGCAGGTTTGAATTATTTAGTCCAGAGGAATTCTGTTGTGAAACCTCCACTCACTGCCTACAGCAGCACCCTTAGGTTGTTGGAGATACATCTAGTTTCCTGGGTGCGAGATGGAGTAGTTCCATTCGGGATAGTTTGTACTCTGGTTGAAGTAGACTATCACCTGTTGTCCATCAGACTGCCCTTGCACCAAGCACTGCCCCAGTGCCCAAAACACTGAAACTGGTGTCTAGAAGTAGGGGCTCATCACAAGCAGGGTCTGGTCAGGGTGTTGGTCAGCCAGAACTAGGGGCAGGGAGAGAACCTCCTTGAGAGCACAGAAAACTTCCTTGTAGTCTTCTATCAAGGCAAACTGACCCCACTTATCCATCAGGTGGTGCATCAGACTGACAGCCAGACAGCAGTCAGACTGCAAACCCCTGGAAGGACCTACAGTAGTAGGACATGAAGCTTTGGAACCCCTCAGAACTCCATCACTGTGTTGGGGGAATATCCTGATCATAGGCACAGCACCCTATGCATGTTATCTGTAGTGTCTGAGGTGTTGTCTTGGAAGATATCTGGTCACGTACTGCACAATATAGCCATGGTGAGCCTTTCATAACAGTATCATTCTCACTGTACTTCCACCTGTTGATATTTTGGTGTCTAAAAGTGCTGGGCTCCATCCCAGATATTCTTCTGCATCTAGTTCAATTAAGAACCATAATTTTCCAGGAGATTATACTTATGTTGCCTTTCTTCATGTTTTCTCTTACCATATCTTGCAGAAAGGTGATATCCACAAGGCTACCCAATAGGGAGTGATGAGGGAGACTATGTTTAGGGAATGTTTCCTATCCCCCTCCCCAAAAAGGGTGAGCCGGGCAGATCCCAGTCGCAGTTACAACTGCTGATATGCACTTCTTCTTCAACCTAAGTGTGCCTCCGTGCCAGTTCATGACTAGGAGCTTCACTACCCTTACCCATCACCCATCACCATTTTATGGCTGCTACAGCACTTGGTGAATATATTGAGAAAAGATATATGACAATATTTTGTATATCAGCTTCCAAGACATTTCTTGTCAGAGTACAGACTCAATCCAATGGCAAGAAAACCAAGGATGTCTCATTCAGCTTCAGTCTTAATCTGCCAGGACTGTTGTTCAGATATTTCTGATGGTATATCTTCTATTCCCTGTTATACCATTGTGTACTGGGTTACCAGAGGTACACTTGCTTACTATGCTGTATTATTTAATTGGTGATGATATTGTTCAAAGCCACTAAGAATTGTGACCATTTAGACTGGACAATTTACCGAAGCAAAGTGAATGGAGTATCTTGCTCAAGGGTACAACAGCACTGCTACACCTGAAAGGTAAATCTCCAACCTTCTAGTTATGACCCCACAGCCCTACCACTACCTCGCAGTCTATGTTACTTATTGTCCAGGTTTCACACAAGGTAAGGGAGCAGACGTTGGAACTCTAAACTATGTTAAAAGGCATACACAAAATAAGGCAAGAAAGATGCCTATTGTGTTCACCTACAACTTATATTTATTTTACCAATCTAATGCTATCTATTTGGTAAATGGTCTGAAAGCAGAGGGAAAATATTACAAAGCTCTTCCTGAAATTCTCCCCAACAAACGAGACTAGCTGTATTGGAACCATCACTACTAAGCTACATTTACTGCCATTGAATACCTTGGAATACCAAATGTATACCTTGAACCAAATTCTAATAAAGCAAAAAATAAATAAAATGCTTTCATTTAAAATACATTCAAAATGGTATCATATGACATAAAGGATCCAAGGCAATTACGAGCCAGTACTTAATTACTGATCTGTAAAGTTATCACACAACAGTTGGTTTATCAATCAAGTGTCAAAGAGTAACAACTGAATGAATGTTTGCTAAAATAGGTATTCTACATATCTTCAATCAATTTTGAGCATAAAAACTGTTTCATATACAAGGAGTTATGTATAACTGCTAATTGAAAATTTATCCTGCTACAGTTTTAAAAGCTTCCTACAGTTTCTCATATAGTTCATTCTAGGGCTAGGCGATATGGCCTAAAATTTTTATCACAGTATAATTTTAATTTTGGACAGTAACGATAGTACAAGACTTGGAGAATACATTTTTATTGCCTGGAGTTAACTATTAGGCTATTATTAACTCTTGGTTAGCTACTGTGTTGTTTCTTTAATTTTTAAAATTTTAAAATTTAAATTTCACATTGAACTGAAGTAGAAGTCGAACATTTTAAGAACATTTTTATTTTGCAGAACTGACACTGGGACATTTAATTTTGAGAAGCAGCTGCTCAGACTCTTCTTTTTCTGATTGTGGTCCAACTTTTAAATTCTGAACTATTTCCAATCAACCGAAGAAGCACCCTTCTTTTCAACAATTTTGTCACTTGTTCCCATCACGCTAACGCTGCCTTTCTCCATTTCTCCGCGTATTTGTGTTTGCAGACGGGCACACCGAATAAGTGCATTTGTTTTCACGGAAAAGGGAAGAGGACACCGTGTGTTTTTATTGGCCGCAATGACCTCAGATCCATCATAAACCGGACGTCAGAACCACTGAAGATCAATAATTCTGAATCTATCAGATTTCCAAATATCAGCAAGATGAACATTTCCAGAATGATATAATTGGAGCTAAAATATGGCAGAATTTAAAACTATGACAGGTCAATAGCAAAAATTTCCGAACCCCATTTTGCAACGATGCTGGCAGAGCAATCTAAGTAAAAATCAAAATCAATTCTCTACCGGTATAAATGGTATAGCCAAGTCCATATCGTAGTACATATTTCTACCAGTAAACCATCTATACCAGTTATACCACCCACCCCCTAGTTCATTCTTGTTGTTACTTGAAAAATTTTGGAGACTTAATATCTTCATTATGCATTCAATGTATACAGAGTAAATTTTGAGATCCTTGTTAGAATTGTTTCTTTTTTATTGTGCTGTTGTCTCTTCTATAAGAGAACAAAACAATTTGTCCTCTCCTTTATATTTCATTAAAATTCAAGCAATTGGTTCAAAACATAGATGGGGCATGTGATCAAGGAATAAAAATGTGACTGCAATAAACAAAACACTTTTACTGCGCTTTCAGGGCAGTTCAGTACGTCGATGAAAGGACAGTTTTCTGGTATAACTGGCATTTGGTTCACTTCAACAGGGGCTCTCAGAACATTCTTATGAAACCAGTGCTGGGAAAAGGTGTTTTGGCCACAAAAACACCAAATATATCAAAACATTAAAATCTATTATTAAACACGCCTTCCTTCAAATGAAATGATTAACTTTTAAAAAAAATAATTAATGCTCAATAATATAGGAATATTTTTTAAAATTTGAGTTTTGCAATTTTAAAGAAAAAAATGACATTAGAATTGTGACAAGAAAAGTTTCTGTATTGAAATTAAGAAGTTGCAGAACACATTGTGTGCAACACATTTATGCCTCATGTAAATATATATTTAAATGCTTGTAATCATTTGCATTGCATATCATCATGCTAAAGGGGGCATCTGCAAGACACATATGTGTTCTATAATTAAATAAGACAAAGAAGATTTTAGGGGACAAAAATTAAAAGCTAATGAACCCTGATTAATAAGCTAATGAACCATGTCTTAAATGATCCTGCACAGGATTTGAAATCCTAGTTGTGATGAATCCTGGGTTCAGCACAATAAAAATGCTAATAAAGATGCATATCATTAAAGTACCTCTGTGAACAAGGAGAATGTCATTCTCATTGACGGGTCTGTGCACCATATCAGAGTCAGGCTGACCGGCGTGGAGATGCTCATAGAACCACTCGCATCTGTCTTTGAATGGCTGTAGGAAACAAGGACATGAAAAATGACAGCTCATTAGCAAATGTTAATTACCCATCCGCAACTTCGACGAAGGGAGCAAACCATTTCAATTTCAAATAATTAGCCTCCGTTCTGGCACTTTTAAATAATGAGCTCTGGAGATACTCAATGTGGTAATTAATACATTTAAAAAGTACAGAATAATAATGCAAAACAAAACTTGCATGTTGAGTGATTCTTCAAAATGTTTCTTCAAAGGTATTTCTTTAACTTGGTTAGAGAGAACAAGAAAATTGGGAAAATATTACCCTTCAGTAGAATACAACGAAAAACATACAGTTACAAGATTATCATTCCTTCTAGGAAAATCAAAATAATTTTAACCAGAGGCAAAAATTTGCAACACCAGGTTAAGATTTGTTATTTAAAGGATCTGAATTTTGCCAGCAGCCATATCACCCTGGCAGCCCACTGAAGCAGGTGTGAGCCTGGTCATTACCAGGATGGGAGACCTTCTGGGACAAACTAAGGTTGCTGCTGGAAGTCGTGGTTAGGAGGGCCAGTAGGATGCGATCTGCGTGGGTCCTAATCCCCCAGTATAGTGATGGGGACACTATACTGAAAATAGGCACTGTTCTTCGGATGAGACATAAAACCGAGGTCCTGACTCTCTGTGGTCATTAAAAATCCCAGTGTGTTTCTCGAAAAGAGTAGGGGTGTTACCCTGGTGTCCTGGCTAAATTTCCCATTGACCTTTACCAATCATGGCCTCCTAATACAACCCATCTATGAATTGGGTTAATCACTCTGTTTCTCCTCCCCACTGATAGCTGATGTGTGGGGAGCATTCTGGCACACTATGGCTGCCGTCATGTCATCCAGGTGGATGCTCCACATTGGTGGTGGTGGAGGGGTCCCCATTACCTGTAAAGCGCTTTGAGCGGTATGACCAGAAAAGCACTAAATAAGTGTAAGCAATTATTATTATTAAGGCTGTGTTCACTTAAATTTGTTTGGAATGAGACACATTTACTCAGTCAAGATGACATGACATCTACAAAAAATATATAGCACCTATATCTTTAAATCAAAGTCTATGGATGTGGCAATATCATTTTTAAATACTATAACTCCAGTTTAAATTCTATGAGAAAAGCCTCATAACTTTGTAGAGGGTATGTGCTACCTTTTCAGTAGCACAAACTGAAACAATCTGGCATGGGAGCCAATCATGAACTCATACACAGTGTTAGTACCTGACATTTTGGCTGCAACTATATAATCTCATATCATTCGCCTTTCTAAATCATTAAACAACTCCCCTTTTTTCTGTAATTGAAATAACTGGGGTAGCCCACACACTACTGTTAAAACATCTGCTTTTATCTCTAGCTTTGTAAAAGGGCTGAATAATGTGTGGCGAAACTCAGCAGCACCTGCAGAAAGTGAACTGCATTAGCTGCCCTTTTGAGATTTAAATAGATAGCCTTTTTGTGGCAAGATGACAGCTTAATAACTTTACACCTGCAAGTCTGTGAGGTGTTACAGCGAAAAGTGGGATCTGTTTGTTCAGCATTAGCTGGCCCATAAAACATTTTTTTTTTCCAATTATAACTGACTTTAAATAGAGCTGAGTTGCAGGAAAAAAGCCGACATTAAGCTTTAAATTTGATAAACATTGTCTATAGATTTGTCTTTTGACCCTCAAAGGATAAGCATTGAATGTTTTAGATTACAGGAGTTTAATCTTGGAGAAAAAATGACTTATTCAGCACAACAGATACTGAATTCAAATAAGGGTGCTTTACCTGGGCTTTTATGATATGCATGAACCTCGACATCAATTCAGGGCACTCGAGGAGGAAGTGAAAATGGTTGAAAATTATTTTGGGGTTTCTGAAAAACAAAACACATATTATGTTTGTGACTTCTGAAACGGTTACATTTTTTTATTTTTCTACACTGTTAGCTGGAGAGGCATTGCACACCCACCTGGTAACAAAGCATTTCAGCACTTCATCATGCTTGCAGACAAACTCTATGAACCGGGGCGATGTCATTCTGTATAAGGAAGCAAAAACATGGAAATAACATGGAAAAACTGCACTTACATGGAAAAAATCAGTGCTAAATCATGCTAAAAGCAATTTAGCAATAATGCATGTATGCAAAAATCTAGAGCTTTCACAAATGCAACCCATGCAAAGCTCAGGAAGGATGCAGTATGCTTAAAGAAAAGTTGTATGCTGTAACTCTTAATATATCAAAATAAAAAAGCATCCTGATTACCAGCAATATTGTTTTCAATACCTGAATATTAAGCAAAATAAATTCTATTAATTTTTGCTCATATTATAAAATAAAAGAAATATACTACCATTTAGAAGGTTAAATAAATTATTTTCCTGATACATCAAAGTCTGATTCTCTTCGCAACACATTCTACAAAATATATTTCAGCACACTTAAATACTTTATTTATTGCATTGAGACCGATTGGAAATAAAGTATTGTACAACTACACACCTGGAATTCAAATACAATAGAACTTGTTTTCAGAGATGTAAAGTATTCAGTGTAATCACTGAAAGATGCATTAAAAAAACATTATTCAATAACCACTAAGTCCAATATAAGATCGAGCAGAACCCAACAAACAATAGGATAAGACAGGATATTTCAATTTGTTAAAAAAATAACAGTGGATAAAATTAAATGTTGTGTCTTTTACCTGTAAAATTATGAATAGATTAGTTTAGAGATTTCAAAGTCCTGCAACTACTTATTGAAACTCATCATTGAAACAAAGACCAAAGACCAGAGATAGTAGATGTATTTAAGATCATAAATGTGAGATACTTTTTTACACAGATAATCAAGATTGAATGGAGCAAAACTGTACAACCATGCTGTTAAAGATCATTCTCTGGGATGCATCAGGTAATGGCTTGATTGGATTCTTCAATCAGCATGCTGCTAGGTATTGAGAAAAACTCGGGTGCCAAACGGCTTCCTGTTGTTTGTAATCTTTTATATGCATGTGAAGATTGCTTTTACAAATCTCAAAATTTATGTTTGACTATTAAAAAATGGTAGTCCTTTTTGAAGAAAGTGTATTAAAAAAGTCTGGTCTACATTCAATCACCTCCAAGATGCCCTGTATTGTCAATGTAGCTTTAGATTGTTTATCAAACAGTTGGACCAAATATTTTGAATTTTAATGTGAATAAACATACAAATTTAACTTAGAGAACTAGAGAATTCACTTGTGTACTAAATGTGGTGCCAGAATCTCAGTCTTAATTACCTGGCAGTCAAACAGTCCATATGGCAGTTATCTTAAGTTTCAAGTTAACAGCAAAGACTTTAGCACAATCTTCTTTTTAAATGCAAGAACAAAATATGTTTCTAAAAAAGTTTATTATATAAAATTTTAATTAACTGTTTTTCAAACTTGTACGTTCAGGTTTGTGAAACCAAAACAACTAATACAATATTGTGGAGTCTGTTATAAAAGCATATTTATATATTTATATAGCTACTCTAAGCACACTACGACCTTGCCTTATTTCAACTACAGTCCTTAATGAATTTCTTTTGACACAGTTTCTAAAATGCTATGGTGTCGTAGGGTGTAAGTGAAAGATATTGACAGGTTTGTATGGAGTTACTTGTCTTATTGACCAGATGGCTGGGAGATTTCCTAAAGAAAGAATGGTGTAGCGGCTTGAGCTCCATGGAACTAGGGGATAGATCTTAAGGACTAATCCCCAGAAAGAGCTTTCCTTGTATTGTAAATGAATATAAGTCCGATTATATTTGACTCTCCTTCAGGCACTGTTTTCTAAGTTTCTACTACTTTTCAATGCATTTGACAGAGGGTTTGAAACTTTAAGAGATTTGTAACATCACAGGTTTTAGTGTTATAATTTCTACGAATGCACACTTGCAAAGCCCTGTCATGCTGAAATGAAAACCCCAAAACAGAGAAACTATCCACTTTTACAACATCTTTAAAATATCTTGATTTTTTTTTTTGCACCAGCGTCAGTGTCAGTCCCTGCATGACGCACCAGATTCCAAACTTTCTGCTGCATTTTGCTTTTGGTTTGGTGTCGGACACTTGTTTTTGTATCCTAGCTTGTGGCTGAAGTGTTATATGACACAAAGTCCGGACACCACAACAGCAAGATTTTTTGCTACAAGTACTAGAGGGAACAAAGAACATTCAACAGGCAAGTGGATTCCCTCCACAGTTCACGAAGGCTCTTACCCCTGAGGCATCTGACAAGAGCAGCACAAGTAGAAGGCTTGGATGACAGCACTAAGTCGATTGGCTGTCATGGATATGACATCCTCGCCGTCAGCATAGGCCTCCGGAGCCTCAATGATCACCTCTGCATCCAGCTGGGCCTGGCTTGCAGGTGTGATGGCTTGAGGACGTGCGGTATTGTCACCCACCACTGACGCAGCAGAAGAATCAACTTCTCTTTGCTTTAGTAAAATGGAAGTGATGTTGTTGGCACCTGAAGCTGGATCCCTTTTGTTTTTCTCCAGCTCTGTAGCAATTAAAACCAGCCACTCATCAAGGGAGTGCCAGAGTAACTCCAAAGGCTTTAAGGGAAAAAGAAAAGACATGTCACAAACCCCTTAAAACTAGATAATAAGAAAATTTGCTTTTTGAGACAATTTTGATCTGACTGCCACATATGCTCTTCTATTCCCAAAACAAAAACACGGGAGTATGCTTTCAATCTTTAATGCCCATTTATACAGATAAGGTTTAGCTGTACACTAGGGTATTTGCCTCCCATTTGCATTTCAAAATATCCTTTTAAGACTTTAATTGTGAAAAATGAAAATTTCATGGTTTTCATACACAAGGAATAACACAGGGGAAGTATCAGATGAAAAGCACAGGACCTGCAGAATAGAAAAATTAAAGCTTAGGAATTGGTGCCCTCTTCAGGAAGATATGTCTCACTGCACTTAATACAGAATCGTTTAAACTAGGTCTATGGTCTAGAAAATAAATGAAAAAAACAGGAACAGAAAACTATAAAAAAACAGTTGAAGATCTGTTGGTTTCTAGTTCTAAAAATTCAGATTATCTTTACTGTTCTAAATCATAGGATGAAAACTATTCAGGATATGTGATTCAGTAATCATTTCATTCCTTGCATATTTCAAGCTTTGAAATGTGTTACACACACACACACATTTATGTCCTCTAAATTAGGAGACAAAATCATATATGCTGAGGAAAACTATTTTTACAGATGATAGATTATGCAATATTCTACAAAATAGTAGGGGGAAGGCTGAAATAACAACAGTCAATTAAATAAAAGTTGTAATATCACAATTAAACATGTATATAAGTATTTATATGATACAGAACTGGAAGAAATGTTACAAGAAGGCAATATAGAAATGTTAGGAATTGCAACTAAATATCCACTATGAGTTCCAGCATTCTAGCTGATAAATAAATCAAGTAACTGGAGTACTACATGTGTTTCAAACATAGTATATTAAAATTTAAGAAAATCAGAAAAGGCAATTTGAAAATATGAAAGACAGAAGGGAAAACTAATGATTAAAGATCGCCAGTTGAAATGATTGCCAATTACTAAGATAGTCATGGGGACGTGGTCCAAAACTTACTTCCTGTTCAGGAGAAGTCTGATATATGTTTGCATGCTCTTTGAAACCCGTCTCTTTAACTCCAATAACGTCATTCTTCCTAACGTCATATACTTTTCTGACCTTGAACACTTGACTTCGTGGTGTTTTATTGCCATTGTAACCCATGTCATTTCCATTACTAGGCGAGGAAGGGCCAAGACGGAAGACGTGGCAGAATATCCGCACAATTCTCAACAGACTCTTCATCTGAGCTTCATAATTACTTGATAAGCTACAGAAAGGACAACATGAGAAAGCAAATGAAAAGTATAACTGGTACTTTTTCTTACTGACATTTACAAAAAATATTAATTCCTAGAGGACATACAGAATGTTCTTTTATATTTAGAAAAGAAGTACAGGGCATGTAATGTGGAACGCAGTCATTATCTTGAGTTTATTGTGACAAGTTTGTTTAAAGTCTATGAATTCATTTCTCAAGTGCTGTTGTTTAGCAATAAATGGAATCTAAATTCATGTTAATAACCAAACCTCCAGACCACACATACATAAGGGTCATTAGGCCTTTCTTTCTAGTGGTTGTTGGATTTTTTGAAGAATTATCAATAAACCAATAAAAACCATAACAAATAATCAGGAGATACAGGCAATGGCCAAAAACCTATCTATGTAGTGCCAATAGCTAAAATCTTCATAAAGCTACAATTGCAAGTACAGTGTCTTGCAAAATTATTCATATCCTCACACAGTTTTCGCATTTTGTTGCTTTAAAGTTTGCAGTCATTGAATTTTAAAGTAGTAATTAATATTATATACACAACTTACTAGTCACATTCAAAGCAAAAAAAAAAGTAAAAAGCTAATTTAATTGAAAGAAAAATGGAAAAGTTGTAAATATGAAAAAAGTTATATTTCAGGATTTTCTTTTTAGCTGTTGCTGACATTTACTGCATGTTATCTTACTCTTAGTCTTCAGTTTGAGTATCCAGGCTTTTAAAAACCTATTAAGCTAAAAAATTGTATGCATCATTTTATAATTTCACAAAATGGGACACCACAGGAAAGGTGTGAATACTTTAACAAGACACTACATAAATATCAGTAAACATTTATTATGCATCATGACTTGTCAAGATCTTTCTGACGAACTCGTCTAGAACTAAGAATTTGTTCTAGATGAGGGCTACTTTTGCTATGGCAGGACACATTTGATTTTAATATTCAATACCAAAATCAAAATTACAACAGATAAATTCTCATGCATCCAGGGTGTGACTACTGGGTTTTTGTACCTTAAAAGTTTATGTCCATTTGTTGTGGCAACTTCAGCGAGGCCTGTGAGAATCTTCTGATAATGGCTTTCACTCTGTTGAGAAACATGCTCTAGGACTTGACGAAGCTGGAAATAAAATACAGATACCCTGTATACAGTAAGCTCAATATTTGTCTGATGGAAATAAACAGAATTCATCAATAAAAGCACTATACCATGTTCTCCTTTATATCATCATTTTGTGTCATCTGGATGAGGGTCTGGAATAATCTTCCATGATGCTGTATTAAGATTTCACAGGTTTCCCCATAACCACCCTGTAAACAACACAAAAACACTCAAAAACATACTGTACATACACTGTAAACACATGCATGCAAACCTGCAGCAAATTAATATTCTCTTGTTTAGGTTTAACTCTACATATATACATCAATAATACTGGCACACTCAGACTAAATAAGAATAACTGTCCTTCCTTGAAAAGGCCATTCACTGGAGTCTTCAACACTAAATAAATTTATTGAACAGTACAGAATCCTGAAGCAAAAAAGACACTCTGAACTCTGCAGCCCGTTCAAACCTGCACACAGAGGTCCAGTGGAGTGATCCCATTTTTATCTGGCAGGTACTTGGCTCCCCTTGACAGCAGAATCTGAGCCGTGTCTCTCTGGCCATGGCTGCACAAAACAGAAAGCAACCTTAGGAAAACAAAGCTTCATATTTGCTCACTTTACTATGCTATGGTGGAACAGTGTAAACTTGTGTCTCCGTAGCCAAAAGTCTGCTTAACTCAACACCACTGACAAATTCCCAAGTGTCACACCAGTGGCATCTCGACAACAATTTTTTTTACCACGGATTGAGGAGTCTGAGTCTACGAGTTTGAATGAAACAAAAGTAATAATCTCAAAATCCCAAATGAAGTGTATCCCATCCTCTCAGCTTCGCTTTTTGATCAGGTGGTTCACAGAATCCATAGTCTTTCATTAAAAGAATTCGTCCTGGAATCAGAAAACAAATATTCTTCCCTGGCAACCTAACATGTGCCACCTTCCCAGAGGGACTGTTTAAACCTGAAATTATGCTGGTATAAACAATAAAAACAATAGGCCTCCCTGTGGCAATGCATTTCAGTGCCACCACTTTGATGAAATGATCCATCTGTACCTATGATTTAGGGGTAAGTCCTGAGAGACAATAAAGACGATTTGCATAATGGCATTGTTATTTGTGGCCAAAAACCAGAATCATACTTGAAAGAACAATGCCATCTGTCAAGGGCTATGGCAGTGTAAAGACGGGCAGATTTGACTAGTGACACTGTGAACAACAGCACCAATTTGTTTGTCCTGGAATCTGCGTTTCAACCTGGGAGGCTACATTCCTGACAAGTAATGAAAGGGGTCTTTAAAATAAAAACAACTTCCCCTGTGCTAATAGGTGCAAAATTATACTCAGCTGACGGAAACCATTTCAAAACTGATCTACTTTGGCATGCCCATCAGGCACAAGATGCAAAGCAAGACTATATCCTCGATGAGACACCCGGAACCCACATATATCAGTCCCACATGCATGGGGGCGTAATAATGAGACCTTTTGAAACAATGAAAGAAAACTCAGACAAACCCCTTTTAACAAATTAGAGCACGCACACTCCATAGAGACAGTGTCAAATCTGAACCCTTACCATGAAACACGGAAGCCAATTCAACATGTTTTAAGCTACTTTACAGGGGAACCAAAAGCACACTTAATGTTCTGTTACTAATTTGAGTGATTTTGAGAAGATCAGAACTATTTATTTTCAACAGTAAATAAGTTTAAAAAATAAGTTATTTAGTACAGTATATCTTTTTAAAGCACTCAACAGAAATATAATGATTCTGAGCAGTCTACAATAGCTCTAGTGTTTAAATGTACTAACATCTAGCATCCATTTGGCTAAAAGAAAACACACTGTAACAGAAAATGTAAAAGCTGAAAAACGATTATGAATACTGAACCTCTTCCACTTCTGAAGTGGTGTTGCCAACTAAAGTCAAATTATAACAGTGCCCAATACTCTCCCACATCCAATAATAATGAACTGACCAGTGCCAATTGTCTGATCTTAAGATACAACATGACTCATTTGAAATAATTCCCAACTTCATTGAAGATGTATTTTAGGGTCTAGTGTTATTAAATTGCAAATAAAGCATTTCTGGAAATGGAAATTAAAAATTCTGGAAATTATGGTACATGGAAAGATAACTTCACGTACTTCCTTCCCTTAAAAAAGCGACAAACTCCATGTCAGAGGAGTGCAAGTTGTGTCAGTGATTTCCGTGCTAATTAGCAATCAAAATTCAATGTTGTATATGTTCATGGATCTACTCACGTACATATTAAAATTCAGGATCTTTTTATTTTATACCTGCATGCAAAGTACAGAGGGGTGGCTCCTGAAACATTGGGTCTGTTGATATCTGCACCACTGTCCAATAGACAAAGCACTGTCTGCAACAACAACAAAAAGACAAAAAAATAATCAAATACAGATTCCTGTTTTCTCCTTTTAACAAATGCAAATTAATTCTTCCTTGAGGAAAAACTAAACAGAAGATAAGCATATGGTTAGTCCAGAAAGATTAAAGAGGTGCCTCTAATGATCCATGGGTGAATTCTTCCTATCTTTTTGCAAGCTATCGTTTCATTAGAGGAAACTAAATCCAACAGCATTCAATAAATTTTGTGGTAAATCTAGCATCTGAAATAATCTTACCTTAAACTTTTCTCATTATCCATGAAAAACAGTCACTACTGATTTCATTACTGCTAATTGGTTTTCATGCATCTAAAACCAGCTACATCTAACAGTCTGCAAAACCTTGTTAAAAGAACTTGTTAAAGGAGCTAGCCAAAACATTGGTGCAGAAACCAAGAAAGAACAGGAATTTACTTGACACTCTATAGGAAAACATGATTAGTGACTCCACAATTTTGATCAAAGACAAGATGCACTAATTGTATTTTATTTTAAAAATACTCTCAACAAGGACTCTAGGAAAAGTTGGGAAGGTTTTTAAAATGATAAAGCCAGTGGTAATTAACAAATCATTGCTTGTTTTGGTATTTCCATTTGGTAATAATGCATTTTAATTATGAAATTCTGCCAATATGATTTGTGAATTCACTGGGTGTTTATTTTTATTTTCATTACTTCTATTTAACTCAGGAGATCATTTTCAGGCAGACACCCTGAAAAATGTGATTTTTTTTTTAACAACCAGGCAGGTCTTTAAACAGTTTTAAAACAAAACAAAGAAAAACTGATAGCCATAATTAAAGTTACAACTACACTTATTTAAGCTTGAGAAGCTGACCTACCCCAACACAGGGAGATGATGCAGCATTGTGCTTTTGTGTCACTTCATAATATCACAGAGACATAGAAACATTGTCTACATATTGCACTCAAAACGCCTTCAGACTATTTAAATACATATATCAATAGAAATTTGTTCCATTCTTTAAATGTGCAGATGAAAGTGATATATAAAATGTGGAATGCAGCCCAAGAATAAACTTCCCCATCTACTCATGATTCTAATACATATTAATCACAATCAGATTTTATTTTGGAATAATGATTTTTAATAGTTTTTTTATATTATATATAAAATTGTCATCATGTCATGTCATTTGCCAAACTGCATTATACCATACGGTGTCGTGGGAAGCCGGAGCCTACCCGACAAGCAACAAGTGCAAGGCAGAGTACACCCTGGACGGGGAGTTAGTCCATCGCAGGGCAAGTGCAAGCCAATCAAACATGGGGACAATTTGGAGGCCACAGTAAAGGCTGGGGGGGGAAATTTGGCCTGGACACTGGGATAACTCCCTACTCAAAGTGAGAAATGCCTGGGGATCTTTATTGACTTCTGAGAGTCAGGACCTCAGTTTAAGTCTTATCCGAAAGATGGCGCCCACTACAGTATAGTGTCCCCGCCACTAGACCAGGGCCTTAGGACCCACAAAGACCACAGGGTGGGCGTCCTCTGCTGGTCCCACTAACACCTCTTCCAGAAGCAACCATAGCTTCCCAGGAGGTCTCTAATCCAGGTACTGACCAGGCTCAACCCTGCTTAGCTTCAGTGGGCTGCCAGTTGAGAACTGCAGGGTGATATGGCTGCTGGCCCATATAAAACTGTATAATACATAATTTAATAACCGTACTTTTGAAGAATTTAAATAATTCTCAGGAACAGAGGCAAAATTAGGGCAAACGCTCTACAGTCATAAAAAAACAGAAACTGTACTGTTTTATGCCCATTTTGACAGGCCACGTGCAGCGCAGTTTGTCCCATTGCATCCTCCACATCTACATTAGAAACATGCTGCACCAGATCATGAAGAAGTTCAGTTCGTCCATTGACAGCCAACCAATGGATCTGGAGAATGACAGAATAAGGACACAAAACTGTGAACACACAATCACCTCCAACATCTGTGACAATAAGAAATTTTAAATTACAGAGCCCAGTCACTGCAAGGCTTAAAACAAAATCTGAAATAGAAAACAGAGATTTAACACCTTCCTATTACAACGTAACATTTATTATTATTATTATAGGCATTTATAGGTCCAGTTTTGGGGAACACAGAATACCCCAAATACTGTAAAATGTGTTTCTTATCTCACAGAAATGTCTCATTTCTTTTGTATTCTTTTCATTTAAGATGTAATGATTTTACATGATCCTCTTTACCACTGATGCTCTCTGGGACCAACTAGCACATATTTCCACATGTTCTGGGAATGTGTAATGTGTAATAGCCAAATATATCTAGAAACATTCAATAAATGTTCTGCCAGGTACAATTATCACTGATGTTCCTCAAAACCCATGACAACTATGACTTTGTGACCTGTCCCAGCTTGATTTTCTCCAATCACAAGGTTTTTCAAGATACAATAAGTTATCAACAGCTGACAAGCAATCCTACAGGAATGCATTCAGACGGATGTACCCTTAATTTATATCTGGATCCATTCTTTCCTGTTCATACGTATGGAGAGGAACAACACCATTTCCTAATGCCAGCCTGATCAGCACCAGCTCCAGCTGCTCCAGCTTTTCTTGTGCTCAGCTTGTTCTGATGCATTTTATTAACTGTATACACTGCTTTGTATAAATGATAAGCTCTTTATATTTGTACTTTTAAAAAAATAACGAACAACCTCATAAACATACAGTAGGCATAACTTCTCTTACTGAATGTTAAAAATAAACTTACTGCAGTTAATCCTTCATTATTGCAAATGTTAACATCTGCATTATATTCCAATAACTTTCCCATGCACTTCTTTTGCCTGTAAAAAATGACAAAAAAATCAAAGCAATGACTTTGTTGCACTAATTCATCACAAACGTACTAGCTGATCACTATATGAGTTCCAATGCAAGTGCAGCATGTAATATACTAATTGAAGAATATCAATAATGTAAACATTAAAAATACTTATGTAATTGTAGCACCATTGGAAAAGGAAAACAATGCCACAGACTCGCAAGATCCCTCAGCCCAGAAACTCTGCTACAAAAAAGGCTTATGCTTTCTAAGATACATTGTCAGTACCTTAGATAAAAGATACAGTGTCGGTATTATTCATATTTATGTACATTTCAATGATTTGTTACAAATCGCACACACCTGACCCTCTTCTGACTACAGGTTCCTATCAAATCAAGTACTGTTCCTATTTTTTTACTCTCTCCCCACCTATTATTTATTTTTCAAAAAGGTTTCCTCTTTATATCCCGCTAACAGACTAGAAATGGCTAAGACAGCATTACCTTCTTGATACTAAAGCAGCTATCATCACAGGGAAATATCAAATTAGTAATATAGCCTTCCAGACATCTGCTATTTGAAACCACATATAGTACCTTCAGTATAGAGTATACTCACACACTTGGATTTTTTCAGTTATGTTGCAAATTCAATTAGAAATACATCCCATACGTATGGGATATTTTGTCACTGACCTAAACTAATCATTTGATTACATTTAAGTGGAACAAATGTTCTGGAAATATTTACATGTAATTTGAAAGAAAACACTGAAATGTCTTGATTTTATAAGTATGCAATGCCTTTGCTATGAAACTCCAAACTGAGCCCAAGCACATCTAATTCCCATATGAGATCACAAGCATACTGCTTTAAGATGCCGTTAATTTTTTTTTATACAATGCACTTTGCTTTTTAAAATCCATTTTGAAGCATCTGAGTGGATTTATTATATTTTCTCGAAGTAATAATTTGGCAACACAAACAATGGACACAACAAATGGAAGACCCAAAGCACCTTAAGGCTGAATGAACAAATCTGAGTATTTTCAGAAGAATTTGAAAAAAACTGGTTTTACAGTTCATACCCATTTCTAGCTGCCAAATGAAGTGGTGTACAGCCTGAAATGTCTTGGTAGTTGGGATTGGCTCCTTTCTTCAAGAGTAAAATAAGGCATTCCACGGAGCCACAACTATTAAGGGATAAATAAAATAGTTTTATTTAAAACAGAAGAATAAGCTTTGTGCAGCTCAATATGCTCTTCAAAAAATCCCTTCTCATTACAAATGGTATGAAACGATAGAAAACAACACACACTAACAACATAAAGACTTAAAATGTTTCCTGTATTTTATTGCATGGATCCATAATTTTAAAGAAGAAGAACACAACCTATTTTTTTAATGCAAAACTGTCATCATGAAAATTGACCTATAATACATTTAATTCTATTCGCACATCCCTATTTCACTGAAACGTGCAAATACAGCCATGTGCTACTCAAGATGTGAACAGGCAGTCCTTTGTGTCAAACATCTATAAATTTGAATTTAAATTTGTACATTTGAATTTACGTCCTGTAACTATGTCAGACCTATAGGTTTTGGGATTATGTTGAAAAGTGAAGCAGTCTTATTTTTTCCTGTAGTGAATAATATCACTTCTTACTTTGCTGCAATATGTAGCAAGCTTCTCTTTACACGTCCAAAAGCATAATTGACATCAAACTTGGAGTTTAAAAGTAGTTCTGCAACAGACCTAGGAAACAAAGAAAAGAGCAATTATGAAATACCTTTTCCACAAAAGACATGTATTTCAGCCCTTTCATACATATCCGAAAAGGGATTCTAACCTGAAATGAGTGTATAATTTAACTTTTATACCTTGAGGCTTCTTAAGTATATTAGTGTTTTTAAATTATTTTGACATGATGAGGGTAATTAACCACCTGTCTTTTCACCTACTAATACCAATAATAAATCTATACTCACCTATGCTGGTCTGCCATTACCATTGGCATTAAAGTGTACACTGCTGTTTCATTGTCTGTTCAGAGAAAAGATATTACAAATAAATAACTGAATAATTAATATTACATGTACACACTGCTATGAAAAAAATGTCACATAGTCTGAATGGATCTACTTATTTCCCAAGACTTTTCAAACTTCATGCAGAAACACAATATTTTGGTGATCTTCTACTGAACATTTCGCCTTTATTTTAAGATAACGGTTATTATTAAGATTTGAATTTTGTAGTCTAAAAAGTACAACTGTAGCTTTGAGAATGAGAAGAAAGGAACACATTATGTTAATAAAGAGGAATACTTGGCAAACAATCAGATGTGAATGATAATTGTTATGGATTAGTTCAGGGTTTATCAACTATCGGGCCCTTCTATTTTGATAAAACCAGCTTCTTAATTGCTAAATCCCCCTACCTCATTATCAGTTTAAAAAACAAGGAGTGATACCTGTTGAAAAATAAACATTCTACCATATGAAAAATAAATCAGTTAGAGTCCACCAAGGAAAGGTCTTTGACTGCAGCACAGGCAGAGCCCTATAACCCAGACATAATTTGTACAAGCCTTGGTTATGTCATTAACTAAGATTGTGGATCCCCCAAGGAGCAGAGCACAGTTTGCAAAGTGCCACCACAGTTAAGTTATCTTGAGTGGAACAGATTTTGCATGGCTTGCCATTAAACAATGTGTCCTGGGACCTGTTGGACATTTGCAAACTTAAATCAAAATGTGAAACACTCCACTGATCAGTGACAACTCTCCTCTAAGACACTGTATAGAGTTCACAAGGTATCCAACGACTAATGGCTTTCAATGGCTTTGAAATGCAGACATGTCAGAGGAGTGAATCCATAGGTTACCAACTTGTAAGATTAACAACCAGCAATTCCAAACTTGCTAGGTAATTCTGGGCAATTACGAACACATAAACAAAATCAGTCTGGCTTCCACCCTGTTCATAGAATTAAATCAGTCTCAATCGGTAAACAGTGTGCTTGTATCGTCTGAAATCTCCCAAGGCCTCTTCACCTCCTGTCTTTTCTCCGTCTTCTGATAGAGATTAAACCACTTTTTGATTCATAACCTGCTTTTCAAATTAGCAATGCAATGCATCAAAGAAACAGTGGATATGTTACCACTCATTTTTACACGAATAAACTGTACTTGTGATTGACAGGGATACCTGGTGATTGAGCTTATGGACAACCTTGTCTGCTGTGACAGTATGTCTTCACTGATTTGACACAGCAGTGAATAACAGAAAATGCCCGCTACATTTTCCACTGAATATAGCTGCAGGCTAGTGAAGGTCATTACCAATTTATCCTGCTGGATTTTCATTCTTGCTCCCATTTCAGTTGTCAACATTTTAACCAACAACCACATGACTGCTATCTAGCTAGCTTTGTGCTTTATCATGCAGCATAATTAAAACCTAGAAAACTGCACTTTTACAAGCCTCTAAGCAAGACTCTGATGCATTGGAGCAAAAACCCAATGTGTAAAAAATTTGTGTCAGAACCCGTCATACAAGTTTGCATTATAAGCTGTTTCACCAAGCAGTTGATGATCCACTGTGGACATAAAAGATATTACTAAAGTGCATGAGGTAAAAGTCCGAAGCAAGGTCTAGTGCAGTTTTTATTCAGTGCAACAGTACTCAAGATGAAGGCAGTAAGACGCTATCTTTGTTTACAGAGGAAGTCCATCACAATATTGACATTGCATTGTCACAAAATATTTAACTACAAAGTTCAAAAAGACCAGACAAAATAGTGGAAAATATGTAATTATGCATGCATTCACTGTTTTACTGGATTGAACTGTATTTTAATTTATTGTACTTGTATAGTTATTCATCCTATCTATCACTATAGACTTCGTAATATAAGTGAAACCACCCTGACTCTAGCATGCTGATGATGCTGCAGTATGTGCCTTAATATTAGATGTGCAGCCTTTAGCCTTGCAGTGGTTTGAGGATTGTGACACTGAAATCGTCTGTTCTACCTTATCATACAGGGTTGAAACATGGAAAACACACAGCAGATGCTTTTAAGGACTGGAGTCGTATCACCAATCATGGTTTTACGCATCAAGTGGGACGACAAGCACGGGAGCTATAAACATCCACCATCAGATCCAGTTGTTGGTCACGTCATCCTGATGTCAGTCTCCAGGCTCCCAAAAAAGGTTCTGTTCTTTCGCCAAATTTGCCAAAGCAATTATACCAGGGGAAGACAGAGAAGTGTTTCAAATATACCTAAAAGTAATATTTATATCACCTCCTGCAAGAATATCGACAATGACATTTAATCGACTTAGCTGAAGAAGAATATCTAGAAAGGACCCCCAGCAAGCTGAGACCCAAAGGCGTCAGAGCAAGAGCATTAAAAAGAGTTCACATGACCAGATTGCACAATACATGATGAGATACCTCCACATTCAATAGAGTGCTCAGTTTGCCAGAGCATGTGGTTCTTGTATTTGTCATGTCAGGTGCCTTCAGGTTCATGAAAGACAATAACCCTGAACAGGGGAGGATAGTTTTTGAATAAATATAAGCTTCCACTACTTGAAAGCCTAAAAATCCTTACAATAATAAAAACAGAATAAAATAACAGTTACAAACTAAAGAAGTCTTTCAGCTCATGTACCTCATTCATTTTTAACAGCTATTTGATCCAAGGGTCTCTTCTAGCTGTGCAACTAATGGCTTGAAGGACAAAATAATTCTTTAAATGCACAAATCAGAAACTATCTACCAATCCAAATAATACAGTTTTCTTCCACATATCAAGGTTACTAAGATGACTGCAGTTTGCACTCCATCTACTCTTAACAAATGATATGTAAATTCTATTTGCTTTTCACCATTTTGTTTTTGCTTTATTGCAGCTTTCAAACTGATTCTTTGTGAGACCCTCTCAAGGTTTTTTCTTATCTCCCTTGCAACAATGAACACAACAAATAAAAGATGAAAAACAAGGCTGGATGACCTTTGAAAAATCAGCATGTGCCGTTTAAAAATAACTTCCATTTGATAAAGTGTAAGATAAAGAGCCAGTGGCAGTTGCAGAAATGAAACTACAACAGGAAAATGTATTGATTTTGAACTCTGCAATATAAAAGGCCCAAATGCACTGGTCTAAAACTCTTAATTCACAGATAAAAAGAAAAATCAATTACAACACTGAACATGTGCAGATACATCTATACATTCATAGGTCACGAAGATCACTTCATACAATACATTATCCTCAGTAATAAACTGAATGTGTGCCACTCAGTGACAAGCAAGTAAATCACATCAAGTTAACTAACTGTTGTCCAAATACTTTGCACATATGTGAGATTTAGAGGTTTTAAAATAGTTTGGAATAGAAATAAAATAATAGAAAACAGGAAACAGCTCCATGGGATTCCAGGCCTTAAAAATGTGAGTGAACTAGAAGAATGGTGTTGACTGGTCAGACTTGTTTTTGGAAAACAACACTTGGCAATAAAGGTCACTTCCTGCTTTTCCCCAGCTGTTTGTCAGGTTAGGCTAAAGCATGCCTGAGACTTCGTACTGGATAACGTGGTTAAGGAATGGATGGATAGTCTTGATGTGATTTGTGAGTGTTTGGAAAGCTGAATCAATACAGCCAGCTGAAATAGCACAATACATTCTTCATGCACAGCCCTCAAACCCATGAACTTCATTAATGTGAGAGCTGTCTGTAATATGGGTATTTTATTGAGTTTCTTATATTCAATTTCTTAATATTTACTGTATAATTTTTGACTTGAGTTTCCAAGTTTATTCCTTGGTTCTTTGAACTTTAAACTTTTTGTTAACAATTTGAGTTTTGAAACCACTTCCTGGGCTGACTTACTAGAGTGCAATTTGTCTCTCTGTTGCAAAACACTTAGTGAATGAATCATCCATAGACTTATGAATCAATGTTGAAATAATTCTCTAAAAAAGAACAAATCATTGGCAAACTGCACAACACAATTTACCAGCATGATCTTTGGTTAAATTAACCTTTCATTTTCTAAGGTCTGAGCGGCCTAGAATGTTTTGTGCTTGGCCGTGCTCCTGTGCAGTTTACAGGGAACAGAGTATGTGACAGTTGTTCACATGTGACAGTAAAATAAGTTGTTTGTCTCACTAAACCAGATTAGAAATTAATAATAGGAATGTTACAACAACATCGTCTGTTTTCAATTTACATGTATGCTTTCTAGGGTGGCATGGTGGCACAATGGTTGTCATTGTTGCCTCAAACCACTGGGACCTTGAATTCAATTCCCGAGCTGGGGTTCTATCTGGAGTTTCACAATTCTCCCCTTCATGTCTGGGTACTCTGGTTTCTTCCCACAGTTCAAAAACATAACTGGTTCTGGGAAAATTGACCCTAAGTGTGTCTGAGTCTCTTGCCCCGAGATGGACTGGCACCCTGTCGAGAGTGTACCATTGTGTCCATTGCTTGTCTGGATAGGCCTCAGCTCTCCCACAACCCTAAATTGTAAGAAGCAGGTAGAAAATACATGGATGTATATTTTCTGGATAGGCATGCGTCTGCAGTAGTAAATGACTTTGTAGCCTAATCTATGGAAGCCCGTTTCCACCAGGGAGTAAAAAAAAAAAAACACGCTATGGTATCTCGCAATAGCAACTCAATATCTCAGAATTGCAACTTAAAACCTCAGAATTATGACTTTATATCTCTCATTTGCGACTTCGAAATGCCCATTTCATTTTCTGTCCTTTTGTAATTGTAATGGATTCGGGTTCTAGGGCTTGTGCCACCCTACTTCATGCCTCACTGCATTGGCTCAAACCCAGGTCTTAACAGCTGAGCTAAAGAAGACTGGTGGCCAGCATCCCTGTTATGCACAGGGGAGAATGGTGCTGTCACCACACTGCAACAAGATCGTACAACCTGAATGTCGGCCATTCCGTCACACTATACTCATAAATCGTACAGGATCATAGGATCTATAGGCCTGAAGCCTTGTCTTGTACAGTGCCCTGATAAAAATCAAATTAATAACACTAACTTTTATGGAATCCCATTTCCACCAGTGAGTCTTCCATAGCAACCGGATGGAATAGTGGACAGTGGTCTTTTTTAAAAGGTTTTATTTAAACACCAGAAATACAAAAATGGAGACAGAACGTGAAAAAATATACAGAAATAGACACTTCACATCCATAGGAATTCCTATTATAAAAGCTGAAACTTGTCCTTTTTACATATTTCCATTGTATGTCTTGCCGTTTGATTCTTTAAATGTCTAATAGAATTTAAGTAAAATTGTACTTTAAGAGTAAAAAGGGAGCAGTATGAGACCATTTACTTTTATGGGTGAAGTATTTCGCCAACATAATTAACAAATTAATAATATAAAATATCAAAATCTTTAAATTTAACATTTACCTTTAAATGTTAAACAATAACATTTTGGAAACCTATCCAAAACAATTTTGGTACAATTCCTTTTTTTACTTAAAAAGAAAGTCTTCTTTAGCTCAGCTGGCAAGACCTGAGTTCGAACCCATGCAGTGAGCCATGAACTAAGGTGGTAGTGGCAAGGGCAGAAGCCCTAGAACCCAAATCCGTTACAATAGCAAAAGAATAGACAATGAAATGTGGGCTATTTTGAAGTTCAAAATGTGAGATAAAAAGTCGCAATTGTGAAATATGAAGTCGCAATTGCGAGAAATAAAATCGCAATTCTGAGATACAAAGTCACAATTGCGAGATACCATAGCACGTTTTTACTCCCCGGGAGAAACGGGCTTTCATAGGTATCAGATGGTCAGGGCCAGTTCAGTATTATGATAGCAAGCCTAGCAGCTGCTGTATTTTGATGGTATACCAGTTTCCTCTTTGACCAAAATTTCCAAACTTATGTCACCAGTATGATGACCAAATTTCAGTCTGGGTTTACACAGTCTGGCCTATCTAAACTTCACCCTCTCTTTTTTTTTGCTCACTTATTTACCTAATTTCCTACATAGTAGGGATACTGCAGCATAATGGCTGCCTATATATAAAGCATTATATAAATGCAAAGAATTATTATTGTTATTAAAAAAGAAAAATTGAACATAAAAGTAATGCACACAGGAAACTAGAAAACACTGATACCACATGAGAAATAAATTACTATTGTGCATGTTAAGAACACATTTGACTTTTATTTAGCTTGTTTGAAAACATGAAAAAGATATATCCTTGTCCTTTATCCTGTATTTTTGTCACTTCACTTGTTTCAACGGTACTATTCCATGTTGCCAACATAACAAAAATACTAAGACATGACATATAAAATGTGGTTCTGTATTTCAGGCATTTAACAGAGACAAATGAAACAATGATGGTAAATGCCATGTTTGCAAAAAAATACATAGTTTTATGCATTCCAGCAGAATGGTATATTCTGAGGGTACAATAAAAGGTATTACAGTACTTCTTGACCAAGTTCACTTTTAAAATGCAACGAAAATTCATGCCAGAAATGTCACTACCATAGTATAAATGTCTGATATATCAAGAGCCAGAACTACTGTACATAGACAAATTTGGAAGCGGGAATTAAACACTTATGCTGAAGTAATTCCACAGTGCCTTCAAAAAAGCTGTCATGGATAACTGTTTTTTTTAATGAACATCATCATACTTCTCCTGTAAAAACAGCTTTCATGAAAGATATGAATGTGACAATGTTATACCTCACACCTTAAGATTCCTTACTAAGACTTGATTCCAATTGTTGATTAAACATCTCTGGGATGCCCTTATCCCAACTTTAGATAAGGGGGGGGGGGTTCTAATCACATTTACAAAACCATGCTATTTACAGTCCTGACAGCTGATCCACGAGTTAAATCCTTCACTTTCTTTCAACCCAGATGCTAGACATTTTGCTGTTTTTTTCCTAATTATTTATTTCAGCTTCATAGCCAGAACCTCTTCTACTTGTTTTGTTTGGATACAAAAACTACTGTTGCACAAAGATTCAAAATAAGCAGCAGAACATCACTCATATATAGGTGTATAAACTGCATTAGCTGCATTCCACAAAGAGAAGTGTTTCAATCTGGTTTGAAGAACACTTGTGTACACAGCTGTGGCTGAATAACAGGTACTGTTATATAAATACCTGTTATAACTTTGTCTACAAAGGAAGAAGTAAAGGTTTATTCCATCCTGAAAAAAGAGAAAGTCTGGGCTGTGGAGCCTTCCTCAGGTGTTATTCAGGCGAGTGTTTCGGCTGTGGAGCCTTCTGTGTTTCTTTTCAGCATGTAATAAACTTAAACTTGTTCCTTTGGAGCCTATGTGTGCCGATGCAGCTACCTACTTGAACTTCAAAAAGTTTGTCTATCCTGCTACACAGGTCTACTTGACTGCCTTGCTGAAGGATACTGCTTAAAAGCAATGATCTCAGATATCAAATTGGGTACATAAAGCTAATTAGAAATATATACATCTCCTTTATCAGCCCATAGCATGACTGTCACACACACAAGTTATAAATAACCACAATTTAAAGTAAAATTAGAATTATTATTAATTTAAAGCTGGCATGACTTTGTGCTACCTGTCAGGTCTAAGCTGATGCTCACAACTCTGAATAGTAAGTTTCAACCACAATGAAAAAGGGGGATGAGACACTGTCATTGCGGTACATTAGCTTTCATATCCATCGCTTTGTCCTAGCTATTTGAACAGTTCCCTAATCACAAACACTCTGTAATATTCCATACTGTAGAGTATTCTTCACTGTAACAGAATATTACCAGGAAGCTCAAGTCAATTAAAAGATCAGAAAATACTGGTCCTTAGAGGATCAACAAAACTTAAACTGAGGAAAGAATGAATATACATATACAATTTTCTTGTATTAGGAATTTGTCTTTCACCCCAACTTGCTCTCCATGAACACAGACAAGGAGAGAAGCTTTGGGTCAGAGCACAGGGTCAGCCTGGCACCCATGGAGCAGCTGGGGTTAAGGGCTTTGCTCAGGGGCCCAACAGAGTAGGATTCCTCTGCTGGCTGTAGGATACGAACCGGCCACAAGCGCAGATCCTTAGCCACAGAGCTACTGCACTCTATTTTAAAGTTGTGATGTGCTTGATATAAATCAAATCTCAACAAATTTAATATCTTTAATAATGGCAATACAAGTCTTTAAATTGATATTAACTTCAAACAGCACTGTACAGCACCATACAGTGCAAAAACACTTTATTCAAGGAAATTTTAGGCTGATTTTCAGAGAGCACCCTTCACCGGTTTAGTTTTTTTTTATCTTTTAGTGTACAACACTATTAGAGATGTATTTTATTACTTTGGGTTGTATTTAAAATTATCCATTGTGTTTTACGTTTCCGATTTAATGTTCACTGAAGCAGAATAAAAACAATTGTAACAATACATTATATCAATATAAAGGTGGCAGATCATTAAAGGAGCAGTACCAAATCCCAACTCATTACTGTATTCGCACTTTTTTAATTGAAACGGTTTTATTTATTAATTTACTCTGATAAATCTGTCTTATTAAATTACAATTGTTTTACAATACTAATGTCACTTTCGCATTTATTTAAAAACATAAATTAATCCGTATCCTGTCCATCGGACACTGATTCACCCTGGCAAGTAGGAGAGATGCGTGTGAATCGACCGAACAAAAACCGAACAAAATCATTGCCAATACTTACTGCAGGTTTACTATGGAAACAATTCTTCTACAAGACCAGTAGTTGGATGTGTTGATTTGTAATCAGTGTGAACATATTACAAACCTCACAAGGCCAAAAACAAGTGAGTATTATAAAATTAATCAGTATCGGGATACGTTGTATATATTACGACGATAGTATTTTTTCCATTAGTATTTACTCTGTTGTCAAAAAGAATGGATCAAAAAGAGAGCCTTATTCGTTACTCATCGTGTAGCCTAACTTAGGTATGGCACAACTATCAAAGACCACACAGCCACGATTTATTATAAACACGACAATTAGTGTATTACAATATTCTCTTTACACATTTACACATGCTAACTTTAATTTGATTTTCATGTTTTTCTCTCTTTTTTTTTCAATTCTGTTACCTTCAGGGAGTTCCACAGTCCTGGCTCGTCTCAGTGATCGTGTCAACCTATTCAGCTGTACATTTAACTGCTCCATCGCTCGTTCCATCATAGGTATGAAATGTGAGTTGTGAAAAATAAGCACTTTATAAGCTTATTATTTCAAAGTAACATCACTAGACATATTCAATCATTCTAAATTACAAAAAAACAACCAGAACTATTCAAATTGCAGAGACACCCATCTGTGATTCATTGCACATTATTTCCTTCTATTTGTTTTCCTTTCTTCCTGTTTGCTTTGAACCGCAAAGATACCTGGGTCTTGTAGTTTTATGGGGATTTTTAGACGAGGAATTATTGAAGCTTGACGGGATAGATTCCGACTCCTCCGCTATCCTGTATTGGATAAAACGGATTCAAATGAATAGATGAAGAGAATTATCTGAAATAACTGCACTTTTTTAACATTTTTATTCTGTATTACGCTAACTAAATGTAACCTAGCTGTGCTACTTTCCATAAGAAAAAATGTAGAAACATTTTAGAAATTAAAAGCATGAAGAAGGGACCGTTCGATTATCTAGCCTGCTTGGTGGTTAAGAACTAATTGATCCAAGATAGAAGTCCAGAATAGAATGACTAGGTACTTTCCAGGACAAAGAGAACGGACTATTTTTAAACTTGAACTGACAAGACTAGGAGGGGACCTGATTTACAGTGCCTTGCAAAATGATTATTAGGTTTCTTAGGGTGTTTCATTTGGCTGCTAGGAACAAATTTAGCTAAAGTGTTTAATTGAGCTCTTTTCATTAGTTACATTTCTTTTATATATATTCCTTAAATTTAGAAATGTGTCCTAATTTTGCCCTTTTATGTTATATTTAAGAACAATTCTCAATAGTAACCACAATAACTGCCACTGTAAACATTAATTTCATAAAGCTTTCTACAAAGATCCTCTCCAGAAACGTTACTTTGTAATATTATAGTTCTACAGTACGTGGTTTGAGGATATGCATTGTGTGAATGGGTATGATTTTGTACAACTACTTCAATCCTCAAAAACATTTATAAAATAACATATATTTGCATTTAAACAAGTATTTGTTTTACAAACAGGTTTGTGCTGAAAAATCATGTTTTATACATTCTGAATCTTGTACAGAGTTTGCATCATAATCCATTATAATACCTGTCAACATTAAACATTGCTCATAATGATAATAAAAAGAAGATGCAGCTTGAGGGGCAGGTCGTTTAGAAATCTTTCTGATTTTAATAATTATAAAATAAAAAGATAATTCTTCTATCAGTTTTTAGGCTTTACACTTGCGATCTTTTCTTAATCTGAATTTTCTAGGGGAGTTACAGATAATGCTTCCTCAAATGGTTTTCTGAGACTTGTCTAATGCAAACTGAATAAAATGTAAAAAATCTATATTTTATTTCTCATAACAATTTTTTTACTATAAATTTCAACAAAGATCACATTCAAGGATATATTAATTGATGCAGGTGTAACACATTGCATTACACCTGTAATAATTACATGCTGTCTTATACTCCAGCACTGAGACCATTACACAAGTACACTTCATGGAAAAAGGAGACAAAGCTAATACAATTTGAAGTGATGAATTTGATAAAGGGTTTACTGACAGTGATGAAGAACAGACCTGACAGGTAATCGAGAATTAGTGTGAATAGACAATTATCAACAAGGCATTCATTTATTCTGGAACAAGTAAAAAAGAGAAAGTTTGGGCTGTGGAGCCTTCTTCAGGTGTTATTCAGGTGAGTGTTTCAACTGTGGAGCCTTCTGTGTTTTTTTTTTCCAGCATGGAATAAACCCATTACTTGTTCCTTTGCAGCCTACGCATGCTGACGCAGCTACCCACCTGAACTACATTCATTGTCATATTAGTATATTCTTCCTTCCTTATTTAACCACTGAAATTGTGATAAGAGCAGTCTTATAGCAATAAATAAAAGTGTGAGCTTGTTGTAGAATGATTGTTATTAGTTATCACTTGATTCTGAGGTGGTTATAAATGCACAGTGATAAAAAATTATAATCAGTCATCCACAATCTAATCCCTAAAAGATTTTGTATAAGGTTTTTTTCAATTCTTCATTTCATTTATTTCTTGTTGAATATCTAAAAATGTAGGCTGTAATATTGAAAATAAACCTGTAGATGTCGCAATTGTGCTGATAGGAGGGATAAATAAATATAACAAAAGAAATAAGAGAATATCCTGCCTTTTCAGTTGTTTGTGCTTTGAAATACCAAAACCCCATCAATTTCTGCCATTAGGCCATTTATCAAGATGAAAAGTCTCTGAAACAAGCAATACTGACAAAGACAAGGACAGGAGGTTATTGTATTCTTATTATTTTATTTTAAATACAGCTACAATTTTCTATATGTTATTTGTAATTACTGTTATCTAAACAACTTTCTTTTTAGAATTACAAAGCACAACCATTAATGTCACACTGAAATTCTGAAATGTATTTAACTGAAAATGAAGCAAACTTAACATTATCTAAATTTTGATATTGTACTTTACGTCAAAGCTTATAAGATTTGAATCTCTCCTGTGCTTTTAAAGAATATATGTATAAATCATCCTCACTTGTATTGTTATCAATAGATTACTTGAAATATTCATGATATCATGTTTAGGGAATAACATTCCAATATTAGTCTTAAATATATTAGTCTATGTCTATTGTTAAATTATCTGGACTGTAAAAACCTGAAGGATGATTTCTTTCTACTTCAAAAATCCAAGTCAAGAAGAAAAGCATGACCTGTACATTGAAGAACAATAGAAATATTACTTCAAAACACAGTCTTCTGAATATTGATTATATGTTGATAGCCTGTCACAGATTTACTACAGACATATTTGGTTCTATCCAAAATTCATTCTCTATTGTGATGGATGTTATAATACAGACGCAAAACTCACAGTATAAACATTTAACCTAATATTCAGGTTTTTAAGCAACTCTAGAAATAAAAATATAAATGTTCTAGTTTTAAAATACAAATAAGCTGATCGAGTTTTGGGCTTGTGTATTAGAAAATTTTGAAAAACCAAAGAAAATACTATTTTCTCACATTGTTGAAAACATGTGTTTTATTAAAATATACAAGTTATTATTAAAAGCTGTGAAATCTACATCTTGTTATAACAAGATCTACTTACATAACACTTTATATTGCTAATCTAATTTTCATTTAAACATTTAATTCTGTTTTCAGTCTTTTTAAATAGAAATCATATTTAAATACTAACCAAAGAACATTTCAAGCATGTGTATTGTAAACGAGCCATTAATATATTAATTCATACAGAGTGCAAAGAAAATATTTAGACAACAAAAGTATTTATTTAAACAACAAAAGACCTTATAGAATAGACATAGAAAATTCACACAATGTAGGTTATTAAAAGGAAGTTGAATGCTTCAAGTCAAAGCTGTTACTAATATCTTTACATCATACAAAAAAAACAGGAAAACTTTGTTACACAAAGAAGTAACATCAAGGTATTTAATAAACGTAAAATCACATATCTTGGCAATAAAGAGTAAAAAAAAGCTTAGATTTTTTCAAAAGATAGTTTTAAGATGGCCATTTATTGTAGGACATTTAATAATTCTATACTTCAAATCCTTTTTTGTTACAAAACATGACAACACACAGGAAGCAATCTGTCCCATCTTGTTTGGATGCTAGTGCCCAACAGACACAAAGATTTAATCTTGCCATTTCTCAAGAGACCAGATTATCAGATATCACAACATGACAGGATATCTTTTTTAGGATATCTTTTCTAGGCTCCCACAACTTTTTGAGCAAAAACCTACCTCTTGTTCTCAGTCTCCCTGTAGTTTTCACTTGCGTCCCTCTAGTTCATGTTGTACGGTCGATTCCGAAGAAGTCCATAGGATCAATGTTGTTAATACCAGCTTGGATGATTCCGAATACTTGAACCAGGCCCCCTTGTAATCTGCTGTGTTCACGTCTAAAAACGTCTATTCTTTTTTTTAAAAAAACTAACATGTCAGTGAAGGACATTCCTTTCAGTCATGGGAATGCATCTGGTGACTTTTCTCTGTACTGATTCCAGAGCAGCAATATCATTTTTCTTAACATGGGGACTTATCTTGTATTTGATATTCTAAATGAAAGATTAATTTCACCTAACGTTCCTTCATTCAAATTCTTAAACTTTCTTAAGGTGCCTTTGTACCACTTTTCTCTAACAGCACGTTTTTAGTTTGTCCTGAAATGTTATACTAAAAGCCTTTATCCCGTCACTACTTGAAAAAATTTGCTCTTACTTCCTCTTCCAAAGATGTGTCAAATACACGTCTAACATTTTTGACACCAGGTTCTTCCAAAAAGAAATACCCCTTTGATAGAATTTTCCTTGGATACAAGAAAGCCAAATGTGAAAGATACACATATAGAGAGAACCTATTTCCAATTTTAGTCCCCTTTTACTCTACACCCAAGGTTTTGCTGGTGCAAAAGGCAGTCCTGTTCAATACCTGACAGCATTTCACTGTAAAGGCTTGTTTAGGTGCAGCAGGCGTAGGTGCCATGAAAAGGGTTACACAAATGTAAATCATGGCAATTTTAATGTGCTTATTTTCTCAAACACCCTTTTCACTGAAAAATGTACTTTTGCTGCACAATGTCAAAAGTCTGAACTGAAACATATACTATATACAGAAAGAATAGATTTTTTTGTTTTAAAAGCATAGTGCACTAATGTGTACAAACAAGTGTTCATTCAACATTATGTACTATATTGGTTTCAAAAGAAGATTTACATCTTCATTAGGGCTTCTGAAATTCATTTTTGGCTTTAAGATGGCATAAGTGTCACGGGAACCCACCCCGAATCCCATAAAGTGCGTTATTTAGGACCCTATGAGGACGGTATAATCCGGGACTGGAGAAGGACAACAGGGAAAACAGAGCTGGTACAGGATGGGATTACAGACAGGGGGGCGGTGACGGCAGTGATCCAGTGCTCAGGGGGCATGGTGAAGGCGAACGAGTCCAAGGGGAGACCAATTGGTAAAACAGGGTGCAGTCCAAAATCCAATACTAGGAGATCCAAAGCCAAAGACAAACACAGAGAACAGAAACAGGAACAGGAACCAGGAACACGGAAGATAAAATCATAACGGAGCCAGGTCCTCTGAGTCCCTGACCCAGATGGTCAGGACACAGTTCTGAAGCCTATGCCATCGGGTCACTCCTGGAACCGCTGGTAGGCGGGCTTCCGGGTGTCCATCTTCCAATGCTGAGTTCAGAGCTTCAGAGGCACAGGGTTTAAATTATACAGGGAAAAACCAGGGACAGGTGTACGTAATAAAACTAAAATACATAAGGGTGGGAGCGCCCTCTAAAGGATGACGATCGTAAAAGTAAGACATGCAGAATCCTCGAAAGATTTGACACATTTCCAATACAGTTCTGATCCTAAATGTTAACATATATCTTAAATATTAAATGCATATACATTTATTTGAAATATTGTGCTGTTCTACCTTAAAGCACCAACCATTTACTGTAGGGAGTAAATGCAACCAACACAGGATTGAGATTACATTTTAGATCTCAGCTATATGAATCTTCAGTTTACAATTCAGAAGAACTGATTATGCAGACAATTCTGTTGTGCATAATAATAACATCTTTGTATTTTTTAAGATGTTCAAAAAGTTCTGAGTTGTCACAAACTAGCAGAAGAAAAGTGTTTAAACTAGAGAAAATGTTGAATACATTAACACCAAAATTAAAGGTAATGTTTTTGCAAGGACAAAAAAGTCTAATACTGTATTGGAATATTAAGCAGTGGGGGCAATTCAATCTTCCAATACATGGTATTTCCATAAATAATGTATACTTCAATATAAATACTTCAATTTTATTGGTTAAACACACTTAAAAAAAAATTACAGTTGGACATTCCTACATTCCATATTCTTACTTATAGATACATTTCACAGCAATGCTTTAATGTAATCTATTAATTGTGCATTATGATGATGGAGAGCGTAAAGCAAATCTAATTAAATGTGTTTTTATATATCTCTGAGATGTACAATACATGGGTATTTAAACATGTGGAAATTAGGAAAATGAATATTCTAGAAGGACATACTTGAAATTAATATACTGTATTTGTAAAACCATATATACAATTTATTAAATTGACTATCAGTATGAAATAGATTAAATTGCCATTCAATGTTTTGCTTTAGAACCAATGTGACTCTTGAGCACAGTTTATCACTTGGAAAGTAAAGCACTATCTTATTATGCTAATAAGTTTAAGTTAAAACGAACAATAGAATGTTTTTTAACAAGATCAGATTTAAATTGAATAAACATTGTGTTATTGCTGATTCTAGTACAAAATTGAGTTTCAAAAACAAAATGGGGCTGTTTTCAACTCCATTTCCATGTATGAAATACAGAATTAAAACTATAACATTTCAATGGATCTACTATATTTTGAAAAAATATTAAAATGCACCATGTTTCTCTTATTTTCTATTCCATGATGTACATGGAATGAAGATAACTGGGGCATCTGTTATTAAAAACAAAGTATGTTTAAGTAAGAAGCTTTGTATATGATATTACAAATGTAATATGTATTACAGATTACGCATTACACAGGTACCAAAGTTCCTCTTCATCCAAAATTACAATCTAAATTTAAAATTATCAACACTACACATACATGTTTACAAAAGTATACTTTATTTAGCATTATCAGAGAAATGTGTAACACAAGCAGAAAATTAAATTAGCATTTAATATCAGACTTTATTTAATCATTTAATGGAAAATAAACCTTTGCAAACTCCAAGCAAAAATAACACAAGGCTTTAAGTTTGAATATGTTTATTCTTAAAAAATACAATAAATTACTAGCAATATGCATAACTAAAATCAAACAAATTCATTAAATAAACAAAAAATAAAAAGTCTTCATAACTAAAGGTTAATAATAACTTAACTAACAATTACAAATATTGCTATTGTATTTTACCTTCCAGAGTTCCTAAGAAAAGTCAGTAAAAATATAGTTACAACATTTTAGTCATTGAAAATTAACCAATGGTGGCTTTAAAGTGATGTAAATCTAGAATACATGAACATGAGCTTTTTATTCTGAGAAAATGTTCTGGAAAGATTTTGAAATATAGCAGTCTAAAGTACTAAGGTATTAGGAAAGGGTCACGTTTAAGACATAAAAAAGTAATAAATAGAGCTATCGAATTGTTTCCTATCACTGAAGGGAAAAAAAGGGCAAAAAAAAAAAGGAAAGCCCACATTATTCAACCTTCAGAAAGATAGCACACCAATGAGAGTCAAAAGTATTGAAGGAGGGTATTTAAATATTCTTTTATTAAATTTGATATATTTTGTAGCTTTATAAAATCAATTTCTGAATTATTAATATACAAGTTTTACATTATTTACAAACATTATTTGTATTATCCAAACCACCTATATACATTTTATTTCTGATTATGGATTTCCTTATTTATTTTTCCTTAACGCTATCTATTCATACCATATAATGATATACACTTAATTGCATTAAAATGGAATACCTCTAGAAATATCATAGTATTTGATGCATGTTGTGGTCTTTTTAAACCAGAGCAAACACAGTGATATTACGAAGTTTCACTAAATGTGAACTATAAATATTATATATTTCAAAATATATAAACAAAACCTAAAGATGCATTCTGGAATTAATAGAATTAAGTCTTTAAAAGCTTGGTGAAATGTAATAACTTTTAATAATCTGAAACAGGATTTCCATTTAATTCTAAAAATGATTGACTAAATAGATTTTGAAATACAATCCTGTAAAAGGTTTTTAAATATACAACTTTAACAGTTTAAAAAATCTGTTTCTGATAATTACTGAAGTTCAGAATTTAGCTAATGCAGTGTATGCTGATCGTTGTTTTAAAGTTTCATGCTTTAAACTTTTATTTCAGTCAATTTTCTTTACTGATTATTGATTTTAGTTTTAAGAATTAAAAATTCCTATTTCTATATTTCAAGTAAGCAGTTACAGTGCAGCATATTTGCACATCAAAATTTCTTAATTTATTAAATTATGACATTTTAAAACTACTGGTCTCTAAGTCAATTAAATGTACTTTTTAAAACAGTGTATGTACACAAACATATAAGACTAAATAAGACCAGATAATTTTCTAAAATCATTCAAAGAAGTAAGACACTTCCAAATAAAAAATATAAATAATGTGTTAAAAGTAGTCTAATTTACAAGTGATATACTAAAATTGCATGGTGTGTTAGTATGAATTTCCAAAGAAAATACAAGTGTATTTACAAGTGGTTATTATCATTTTATTATATACTTTTAGGACGAAAAACATACAGAAGCGTAAATTCTCTAGGCACAGTGGAAATATTCGTTGAAAGAAAAAATCAAATGTTCTTTGCAAGATATTGTCACTAGAGGGCAGACAACTACTACTTTGTGCTTGGCTCCCATAGCATATTAAATTACTGTACTACGCTACAAAGCCATTAATAAGAAATGAATAAAGTCTACACCGTAGCTTTCCAATACAAATACAAACTAATTAAAAAGAAATTCGTGTATCATACTGTAAAATTAAATACTGAACCTCTTTGCTGATCATGATAAATATTAAGGCTTAGTTTCACACCCATCGATGAGTAGATTGATTGGTTTAATTCGTATTAACTCCCAATGTAAAAGATCTAGCAGGACTGTTTATAACTCCAATCTTGCTTCTGATGAGCGACGGGGAATAAAACACACGACCAATGTCAACTGAATGAAGCGCACTGTAATGCTAGATTTGAGATCTAAGTATAAGTGTCAGCTATTCATTATTTTTCATCAATGTGGCTTATAAAAGGAGCATTAAAAACAACGGAACTGGTCAACTTTCTTATCCAAATGACCACGAAAGGTAAGGGCTACCTAAGAAAAATCCTTCAATGCAAGATCAATGTAGAGGACAAGTGGCAGCCGAATATTTGCTTGCCACTTCTTTTGCGCTTAAATTCTGATTAACTGGTTACCCAGCAAACTCTATGCTAAGAGCTAGGCCAAACGCAGTCTTTTCCGATCCGTGTTAAAGAAGCGCACTCGGGCTGTGGCGAACAGTCGGGAAACAGTTCCAATCTGGCGCTGCGCGATCCAGCAGCCAATCGCTCCCGCTGAAGTGCAGAGAGCAGGTGAGGCAGCTGTGACGCTTGAGGTTCGAGCGGTATGGCTTGTCACAGTGTAGTTATCACCGATAGGATTCTACTGAATGCCCGCTACTCCCATTGCAGCTACTGCTTCAAGTCCCTCAACTCAGGAAGTGAATACACCAGTTTCTGAGAAATAATTAGTCACTACGACAATGGCGAACAATAGGTAAGCTGCTGCATACGCCTTTCTTTATCATAATGAATACTGCTAATTAACCCTACTAGGGCTGGCAACTGAATCGCCTTTAAAAGCAATACGTGATGAGCTGAAAACAAATTTCAAGAAGCCTGTGTCGGAGTTTCCATTGCGTTGCCATGAAGATGTAAGGATGTCTCATGTTCTTCCGGGTTCATATTTGTTCGGTATGGAAAATAGAAAACGCCAAACTCCTTGGCAGGCATCCAACACTTTAATTTTCATAAACCACATCATGTAAGCCTTTTGTGACTTTGAGGAGCGATTCCAGGATGATAGGTAGACTTTGAGCATAACCTAACGTGGTCTGCAACTAATTTGCTGCCTTTCACAATTTAACTATTGCTAGCCCTGGCTGTAGTCCTTTGTGCTCAGCTGCTCCTTGGCAGTTTCGGCTCCAAAGCTTTCCGATCTCAAGCACGAGGGGGCGGCATTTTATATCCCAGAGATTCAGCCTGTTAATATTCTGTCACACGTGTTTTAATTTTTAGGTTTTCCCAGAAATGTGATTTGAATAATATTCTGCCAAATATACTGGAAAACGTGTGACATTCTCTTTAAAACTGTATGCATATAGCCTATAGGAAGAGTCCTTCACAAATTGGATTGCAATTCAGACACAGGTCACTGATTCTAGATTAGTCATCAATGATTTTAGCAAATAATTTTAACCTTTGTCGAATAAGATTTGTTTTTTAATTATACTCAATGGATAAGCAATACCGCCATTTTGGCGTTTGTATGTTGGTAATAACAAATGTAATTGCTACTGTTTTGTTTAAAGCTCATCTACAGGCATTCGTTGCTATGGGGAAATACTTAAATCCATGTATTCTTCTGCAGCAATGTAACAAGTAATGTTTGTGCCTTAGTGAAATCAAATACATCTACAGCTCTTTCCGTAAACCTGTTAACTGAGACGTGTGAGGTGTTGACATGGTAGAACCATTCTTATTTAAAAAAAAAAGCAAAATCATAAAATTTGAAATACTGTAAGCATCAAATTTAGAATTTATGGTTGGTCTAAAAATACTTGGGTAAAAAATATTTAAAACTTTACTCGTCCTTTTTTTTGTAGAATTACTGACAAGTATTCTTACTACAATTTGTTTTTAAAAACAAATACGTTAATTGCATGTAAAAGCATCTGTCATTTTCCGTTTTTTTAAAAAACTTGCATTATGAAATCAAAATGAGTAGCCTGTGTTTCCGTAACGTCTTTGTTCGAGCCGTTTTGTGAATATAAATGCGTACTGTCAAGAAATGTAATTTGTAGTTATAGGTTCTTTAAATATTTTGACAACATTCTAATGAAATAAAAAGTTGTAGCTTCACTGTAAACCACGATTAATGATAGTGTAGAAATTGTTTGAAAGATTGGGATGCGTAAGAATACAAAGAGAATCCAATACATACACACACACATATGTATACACGCAGTGTTCAATTTAAAATATTTATATTCCAGAACAAAAACGGTGCTTCATTTAAACTAATGCATTAAGGACCCCTTTAAAGTATTTCACGCATTTGATTAAAAACGATCCTTAGTTTTCCACATTACTACAGTCGCATAAACCAAATAAAATCTACATTGCCTTCCCAGCAGGGAAACTGCATCCTATGAAACACAACACTATGTTGTCGCTAGCCATAGTTCTGAATCAAGATATACATGCATATTGATCACTCCTGATTTTAGCTCAAATCTACTTCGTGAATCCCTGCAAAGGCGAAAAACATTGTATTATTTTGTTACCAGTTTGTGGCATGTCACTATGCACTTATCAGAACTACCAAAAGGTACATGTATAACAGTGTTGCTGTTGTAAGACAGCTGTGCTGATACAGAAAGAAGTGCAAGCATTATATATATATATTGTACAGAATAGAAAAAGGCAACTAATAGCAGAGGAAAATGTGATCGACTAAAAGAGTAAGATTAATTTTTGTTAGATCTTTATAGCATTGACTACTAATCTTCGAACAGTTATAGCAAAAACCCTTATTTTGCATACCTGTATCTATAGAAATCATTAATTTCTAGTTTCAATGAGAATGCATTATGGAAATCCATAAACTCTAAACTCATTTTGCTACAAGTTTGTAATCCAATTTAAAATGTAAATTTCCTTTTTTTTTGTCAGGATGTAGCTTCAGGTTATCATCTTGGAGACAGTATATGCTCAGCCTTCATTTATTGGCTTTCCCAGTATTGACAGTTTGGTTGCTCAAATTTAAACTGAGAATATTATTGACATCCTGCTGCTAAAAATAGAGTACATGGATATGCAGGATCATCAAATAAAAGGTCAGAGGTGACACACCAGGGGAAAGGTCATGGAGCTCATTTCAAGCAATCAGTTACCAGCTTTCCTCTATCTGAACAAAGGCTTAATTATAGATGGAACAGAGCCCTGCAATGGTGATTGGTCATCACACAGCAGAGAAATGAGAAGGCTAACAGCTGAAAGCTGATTGATGTATTTTACATCTTTATTTTCTCTCTGGGTTCAGTTTGCACAAATGCTGATTTCCAAAAATCATGCCAAACACAAACTACAGAAAGGACAGTTAAAGCTAACAAATAACTATTTTATTTCTGTTACAAAATTAAATATCAGCAATGTTTAATTTGTAAAACACTGAATCGGTGAAAATTTGTTTTATATAAGTAGCTAAGCTTTTCCCTTTTTCTTTTCACCATTTCAGTACCATGAAGTGCATGTACATTAGGAACCACAGCTGTACATTTACTAAAGATAGAAACAATCCATGCTATAGTGAAAGTGTTCGCCATTTACTGTAAGTATAGATACTCTATGTTAAACACAAAAATATCTAGTTTGTCTAAGCCAATAACATATTGTATTTCAGCATCTCCTCATGCACATGCATTGTACTCATTAGAGTTCATATTTATAAGAGAAAAATATACCCTTTTGACAGAATTTGTGACAAGAACTAAGTGGACAATATTACACAAGTGTTAGATCTTTGAGTGCATTTATTAAATCAGGAGTTAATAATAATAATAATAATAATAATAATAATAATAATAAATTCCTCACACTTCTATAGCGCTCCTTTACTTTTAGTGATAAAAGATGCAAATAAAGCAAATTGGCTACATGAAACGGTTCTAAAAAAGATGTACCACTTTTATTATTTTGAAAAGGAGAAAACATCACCACTGGCTGTATAAAATTTTATTTTAGCAGTTACATTATGTGTAACTTTTGAAGGGGTGGCTCAAATTGATAAAAAAAAAACATCCTCACATTTCTCAAATGTCTGGAATACAGCAGGTGTCAATTGTTTCTTTTAAAATAATGCATGTGGTATATTATGAAATTGGAAAAAAGAATAATAATGTTATTTAGTTGAACAATTTGTATTGTAATGATGTGTTTCAACAAAATGTTCAACTAAATGTATAAATGTAAAAGTATTCTAGACTGTACAGTGATGTACATCATCTGCTAAAACTTTTGCTCAGCTTCAGAAGTGTCATTCAGTCTCTGTGGTGCTACAGAATAAATGTACACAGATTGTAAATGCATTACTTTTACTTTGCTTTTACTTCATGGTAGCAATCAGTAGCCAACTGAAAATAATTATTTAAATCTCCACTTCTAAAAAAACAAACATTTGATACGTAAAGTAAATATGGTTGGAGGCGCACTTTCTTCCATCCCTTCTTTAAAATATTTAAAATATTTTTAAAATCTAATCATAAGATTATCATTACGATTAATCATAAATTATCCTTATGTTAAACACTTTTGCTAAACTATGTCTCCCTAAAATTCACAAATCACAAAGTTCCCAGAGCCCCAAATCTCTTTCAAACATAGTATATGTCACATTAATGCTCATTGTTAGTCAGATTTATTTGGAATTATTTGTATTGTTTATATTTATTGTGTATATATTTATATTATTAAAACAATAACTATTATTAGATAAGGCATAATACATTTCTTAAAAGATTAAACTTACCTTAAAATTAATATTTGATTAAAAACTAGATTACAACACTGTGTCTAAACAATATCAGTCATGGATAAAAGAGATCTATCTTTTCAATACAGAATGTTTTAATCTGTGTTGATACATTATTGCAGTACTGAGTGCTTTGTGGTAGCTGCCTGACAGTTCCTCTCAGAACATTTAATTTCACACAAAATATTTTTATTTTTGTTTACCGAAGCTACATAAGATTGTCTCAATAATTTACATTGCAAAACTTTTCTCAATATAATTATTCTCATTTTCTGCTTAATGTTATGTATTAGCTATACATATAAGGAATTACAAATATAATCCTAAAGTTATTTTGTATATTGTGCCACATTATATTTTTATTATGACAACATCTTAAGTTTTTATTTAATTTAATTCATTCTACGTATGCTAGGAACATGTTTAGAATAATCTGATCATAGTACTCACAGTATGTACCTACATTTCCTGAGCAGTAATTATCTCTGTAAGCATACTGTAATGCTTTACTTTAAAATTAAGATTGTAAATGTTTATCTTTGTAACAAACAGCATTATAATTTATTAAACAAGTTAAAAACAAAGCAGAAATGACCTAGTGAAATTAATAATTGCCTACAAATTTAGCATGCACTTCATTTGTTAAGAACTACTTAAATCATTAATAGTGTTCCTGTTATTTTAAATATTTTAAAGAACAGTTACTGCAGTACAAATAAAGCATTGCAATTGCAGACTATAAATTTCAACCAAACTACCACTGGCAATATTTGTTCATACTTAAAACATAGTTTGACCTAAAGCTGCAGATATTGTATGAAAATTAGTGTATCTAAGGAGTATTGTTTAATCAAATACTATACTCCTTAAGTCTTTGAAAGAAAAAGGATTTGTGATAAATATATATATATAATGTAGTGAATATCTAGTTCTAATTATTTTAATTATTCATTTTCTTAATGTGT